TATGTGCGTGTAAATATATGTGTATGTGTGAATATATGTATTTATGTGTGAATATATGTATTTATGTGTGAATATACGTGTTTATGTGTGTGTAAATATATGTGTATGTGTGAATACATATGTGTATGTGTGTATATTTTTGTGTTTGTGTGCGTGTAGACGGGTTATCTATTTAGGATGCGATGGTTTAGATGTGTGAATATATATACGTACATGGATATATGTACATTTAAAATACTTTACTGAATAAAGTTTATTTGAATTGAATTGAAATGGGTGTGGAAGATATATAATTATTACTAAGTGTGTTTGTTTGTGTGTGTGATTGATTGTTTGTGTGTGTTTGTGTGTGTGTGCGTGTGATTGTTTGTTTGTGTATGTGTTTATGTGTGTGTGTGTGTGTGTTTATAAGTTTGCACTTACTCAGTATTGCCATTTATTTTTGCATAAGTTCGCAGTTACGAAATCGCGTGTGTGTTATTATTTCTTTCGCTGTTGTTTAGGTGTGCGTGCGTGTGTGTTTGTTTGTGTGTGTGTACTAAACTTGTATACTACTAGGGCCACTTTATTACTACTACTACTTCTACTTCTACTACTACTTCTACTTCTACTACTACTACAGCTACTAACGCCACTACTGCTACTACCACTACTACTGCTACTACTACAGCTAGTACCGCCACGACTGCTACTACCACTACTACTTGCTGCAGTCGCTAATCGAAGGAGAACAATGACGTCACCTGATATTTGTTTTAAATTCTCATCACGTCATCCTGCGAACTTAAGAACGCAACAAAACAAGGGCAACATTTCGCGAATGAATGAACGAACGAACGAATGAACGAGCAAACGAACGAACGAACAAATGAACGAACGAATGAGTGAATGAATAAATGAACGAATGAATGAAAGAACAAGTGAACGAATAAGTTTTGTGATTGATTGACGACTGAATAAAGAAATGAATGATGGATGTATAAATGAATGAGTGAAGGATTAGAATAAATTTTGCACATTTATTACGATATAGACTAATGGATGGATTGATCATCTAGATGGATGGATGGTGAATGGATGGATGAAGAAATGAATGTATGGATAGATGAATTAAGGAAAAGATAGATAGATAGATGAATGGGTAGATAGATAGATTGATGGATGGATAGATGAACGGATAGATGGATGGATGGATGGATGGATGGATGGATGGATGGATGGATGGATGGATGGATGGATGGATGGATGGATGGATGGATGGATGGATGGATGTATGGATGGATGAATGGACGGATGGATGGATAGAAAACTTTGATATCTCATCAGATGTGTCTTGCTTTCTTTGTTACAGAGATTTCCATCTTAATTAATCCATACACCAAATCGAGATTGCAGAAAGGCAAATATGAGAAAAAAAGCTAGAACAGAATAAATGTATTTAAGATGCCAGCAGCAGCAGGTATCATGGCAGAAGAAATGGTATGAAGCCATTTACGAAATTTCAAATCCCATTAAATAATTTTTCTTTTTTTCAAATAAAATACAAAAGTATTACAAAACAATACAAAGAAATACAATACAACACAAAAAAATACAATACAATCTAAAGAAATACCGTACAACAAAAAGAAATACAATACGATACAAAAAAAATACAAAACAAGACACAAAAAATACGATACGATACAAAGTAATAGAGAGAGAAAACAAAAAGTTACACTACACACATATATTTACATACAAACCTATAGCTTCAAAACCACAATACACACACAGACACACACACATACAAACATACATACACACACAAACATACACACATACATACAGCTCAAACTGAAAGTGACGTTGGTTATGATGAATTTGAAGGCGAAGATTCAGGTCGGCTTTAATTATATAAATTAATTATTTACTAATTCAATCGTTCGTTCGTTCATTCATTTGTTCATCCATTCATTCATTCACTAGTTCAATCGTTCATTCATTTGTTTGTTCGTTCATCTGTTCATTCATTTGGTTATTTTATTTTTTCTTTATTTTCCTTTTAACAAACAATGAAATTATTAATTGGATTAACATAAAGTCAGTCATTCGTTTTAATTAAATGCCCACTGTATATGTGTGCCTGCTTGAATACGTGTTTGTTTGTGTGTGTTTGCATGTGGGTGATTGTTTGTATGTGTGTGTGTGCGTGTGCGTGTGTGTTTGGTGTGTGTGTGTGTTTTTGGAATGAAAAACAATTCCATGAATGTTGAGAATGTAGTTGCTATGAAAAATTTTGAAAGCAACAACAACAACAACATTAAAGATATGAAAAAATCGACGACAACAACAACAACAACAACTATTACTACTACTACTAATAATAATAATAATATTACTATACTATCAAAAACAACAACATCAGCAGCAATAACAACAAAACAACAACAACCACTACTAATACTACTATTACAACAACAACAACTACAACTACTACTACCACCAACAGCATCATCATCATCATTAACAAATAACAACAACAACAGCAACAACAACAACATTAGCCGTCTAGTGCAAAAAGGCAGTGCTTTTTTACTTTATTTTAGCCAGGTGAATCGTATCGCGATAATGATGAAGAAGAAGAAGAAGATGATGATGATGATGGTGAATGTGATGATGATGATGATGCTGATTGTGATAATAATGATGCTGATTGTGATGATGATGATGATTAGGAGGGTGTTGTTTATAAGGATTATTACGATGCTGTTTAGCTGCTTATTATTTAATAGCACGATGAAAATATGGCGACCATGATGATGATGATGATGATGATGATGATGACGATGATGATGACGATGATGTCTAAGGTGACCATGACGTCATTTAAAAACAAACAAAAATGAGTAAAAATGGACGCTGATGTTAATGCATTTTTTTTATCTATGGCGAATTTTTTTTTCTTTATCCAAAAATTTTTTACTTATCTTTGCTTGTTTGGCCGGCCAATACACTAATGGACAAATATAACAATGCATTGTTTTTAATACACACACACACACACACATACATAATACATACATACATACATACATACATACATACATGCATACATACATACATGCATACATACATACATAAATACATGCATACATACATACATGCATACATACATACATGCATACATACATACATACATACATACATACATACATACATACATACATACATACATACATACATACATAAATACAAACATACATACATACATAATAACCAAAAAATAAAATCAACAGCAGAGCATCTCAAAGATAATAACCAACAGACGCTTTAGCGCGCATGAAACAGAAGATGATGATGATGATGATGATGATAGTAATGATGATGATGGTGGTGATGATGATGGTAGTGATGATGATGATGGTGATGATGATGAAAACGTTATCGTTATTGCTTTAAATGATAACAAATCACGATGATCAGGTGGTCTGTATCATCATCAAAATCATCATCATCGTCACCACCACTACCATTCTACTACTACTACTACTACTACTACTACTACTACTACTAACTACTACTACTACTACTACCTCCACCACCATCATCATCCTCCTCTTCATCATCATCATAATCAGGGTCGTCGTTGTCATCTTCTCAGTAGCATCATTTCATTATGTGACTCTTGCAATCTTATCTCGCTTTTGAGTGTTCATATTTTTTTTTCATTCCATTTCAATCCGTTGTTGTTGTTGTTGTTATTTTCAATTGGTTCGTTTATTATTTATACTATTTAGTTTTCCCCGATTTACCTATTCTGATTTGTTGTTTCTTGATATTTTTTCTTTAGTTGAAATATTTATTACCTCATTCTAGATAATTTTGAAAGTTCTTAGTTGATGTTTTTGATGATTTAAACGTCAAGATTTTTTCTATATTTATTAAATTAATCATCCGATCACAATTGACCAACAAAATCACGTGATCCAACAATCTAATCAGTCAAAATATTCGACTCACTACTCATAAATTCATCAGCCAATCGTGATCAATCAAAAAGTTAAACAACTCGACCATCTAACCAATCAAAATAATGAACCTCCGCCATTTAAAAATTCACGATCCAATCACAAACGACCCTCAAAATCACCTTTCGATCTGATCAATCAAGACTCAGGGGCGGAGCCAACTTTTGACGTGCCGGTGGTGAACGTTACGGTCGTGGCTGGGCAGGCTGCAGTTCTACCCTGCTCTATTGATGGAATTACAAGCCATAAGGTCAGTACAAGCGTACAACGGCAAGTGACTGATTGGTTGATTGGTTGATTGGATGATTGATTTGGTTGGCTGGCTGGTTAAGTAGACAAACTGATAGATAAATGATTTCTATTGATAGACAGACAGACAGACATTCAGACAGATAGGCAAATAGATAGATAGACAGATAGATAGACAGACAGACAGACAGACAGATAAATAGATAGATAGATAGAAAGAAAGATAGATAGATTAATAAATTGATTGATAGATAGATAGATAGCTAGACAGACTGACAGACAGATAGATAAATAGATAAATAGATAGAAAGAAAGATAGATAGATTAATAAATTGATTGATTGATAGATTGATTGAATGCGCACCTGTAATGAGGAAGTGCACAAAAAATTGTTTCGACTGATTGATCGGCCCTCACCCGCATTCTCTAAAAAATATTAATTTCTATACTCTTTTTTTAACCTCGTTTTTTCCTTCTCCCTACTTGACCCTCCTAATTTGACCCCGTCAAGGTCATCTGGACTATAAATAGTGGCATGCCCTTGACATTTGATAGCAGAAGGGTCATTGACGATTCGAGATTCAGTATCATCAAGCCATCGCCAAAAGAATGGAATATTCTGGTTAATCAGTTACTAATAATTATTTTAATAATTATAATTATTATAATAATTATTTTAATAATTTTAACTATTATAATAATTATTAATAATATTATGATTATTATTATTTGAAATACTGAAAGATACGTGATATAACTGAAGAGGATAAGGGTATATACCATTGCACTGTCAACACCTCCCCCATCAAACATAAGGTTGTCACTTTGCATGTTAAAGGTATGTTTATTATATGGTTGTTGTTGTTGTTGTTGTTATTATTATTATTGTTGTTATTGTTCTGTCACTTCGATTTTTTTTTGCATTTCTATCACCCTCATCATCATCATCACCCACATTATCGTCACCATCATCATCATCATCACCATCATCATCATCATCCACATCACCACCACCACCACCACCACATCATCATCATCATCAACAACTTCATCATCATCACCCACATCATCATCGTCAACATCATCAGTACCGGCTCGGATCAACCATGAGACCTCCAGTAACGATACGACCATACGCGAGGGTGACACGACTTCCCTCTTCTGCAATGCCACTGGAACGCCCGAGCCACAGATTAAGTGGAAGTTCATCCCTTCTGACCCAGCTAAGAGAGGACAAAGTGAGTGAGTGAGTGAGTGACTGAGTGAGTGAGTGAGTGACTGAGTGAGTGACTGAGTGAGTGAGTGAGGGAGAAAATGAAGAACAGAATGAGTGAGTGAGTGAGTGAGTGAGTGAGTGAGAAAAAGAAAGAATGAACAAACAGATGAATAAAAGTAAGGCCAAGCCTAACCCCTAACCTCCGAACACACAGCCATCAACAGCACCGGCAGCATGTTGATCATCAGCAACGCCACTAGAGACCTAGATGGTAAGTACGAATGCACGGCTGAGAACCTGCCCAACTCGCAGGCTGTCAAGAGGATCAAGCTGACAGTTCAATGTTTCGTTATTTTTGTTACAATTTCAACTATATTGTAATTATACAACTATCTGTATCTATTCTTTGCATGGTATAATGATACGGCTATTTATATGGTAGAGTGAGTTCCTTTGCAATCAAATCCAGTCAGTGCGAGGAACTGAACCACAAATACAGGACACTCTACCACCACACCACCTAGAACTTTTGAAAATTATTTGTAATTTTTTTGAAATACTATACTAAATAATTATTTATTTTGATTTATAGTTCCTCCGGAGATATTTTTAAGTACGAAAAAGCTGGGTCAGACGATTGGCAGGGAGACCATACTGGAGTGCAAGGTCAGGGCTAATCCGCACCTCATGAATGTCTGGATGAAGGTAGGTGTCTGTGTGTGTATGTGTGTCTTTCTGTGCGTGCGTGCGTGCGTGTTTGTCTGCGTGTGTGTGTGTTATCACCACTTCTTGGTAATTGAGGATTTATGGAGGAATTGAGGAGGTGTGTTTTTTCACCAGTCCATCATTAACTCATCAACTGTGATTTTCTTTTTGATTTCGTTATAATTTCACCAGACGTCATCAAATCTTCATCGTCACCACCACCGCCCACGCTCCTCGCCCCAACCCTCACAACCCCACTCCCACCAGAACGGGACCACAATAACGCCCACGGATCGACTAAAAGTGGACATATTCCAACAATCCGGACCGGAAATCCTTCTGAGTCTTAGGATTCGAGATTTGAAGCAGACGGATTATGGTCCGTATGATTGCATCGCCGAGAATAATCTCGGGATCGCCAATGACACCATGATACTATATGGTTAGTGTTGCTATTATTATTACTACTACTACCACTACTTCTGCTGCTGCTGCAAATATTGTACTTCTACTACTACTACTACTACTACTACTACTACTACTACTACTACTACTACTACTAATAATAATAATAATAATAATAATAATAATACTACTACTACTGCAAATAAAGTACTATTACCTCTGCGAATCATAATAACAATAGTAACATCAATACAACAAAGAATACAAAGAAAGGCGAACCATAACCGTGACAACCGTAAAGTTTCCAAAAACCACGATCCCAACAACAAATAATAAAAACAATAATAATAAAAATAATAATAATAACCTTCATCATCATCAGCATCATTATCCTCATCTCGATTCTAAACCATTTCCGGTAGACGGCGACGATTATGATGACGACGGTGACGCAAACAAATTTAAGTCACGTGACTTCAGTATCCAGGCGACGAATATTGCGTCATCGCAACATCATCATCATCACCATCACCAACAACCTCATCATCATCATCACCAACAACATCATCATCTTAATAGTTACAATGCAGTTAATAAAAATAGTAATATGAATTACGGTTAGTTTTATACTATATAATAATAAAATAATATTAATAATAGCAATAATAGCTATTAAAATTATTATTATTATTATTATTATTATTATTAACTTTTTCCATTGGTAGCTTCACAGAGGAGTTCCAGTTCAAGTCTTCATCATAACCATCACCTTCAAGGTCATCATCATCATAACCATCACTTTCTTCATAATCATAATCATCATCACCATCGTAACCTGCAACAGCAGTTTCACCAGAATTGTAGTAATAATAAGAGACAAGAGGAAGATTTCTATCATCACCGGCACCCCCACCACCATCATCATCATCTTCATCACCATTATCTTTACAATCGTCATCTTAATCCTCAACAACAACAACGCAATACTAATGATAATCTTAAACATAATCACAATTATTATTACTATTATTATTATTGTTATTATTATTATTATTATTATTATTCATTTTGCAATCTTCATTATCAGTACAGTAATCAGTTTCTACTCGTCATCTCTTCTGCATCCATTCATTTGATCAAGGACTCCATAATTAAAAGATTTCTAATCATCATGTGAATTTCATTTATTGTATGGCATTAAACAATTATTATTATTACTCGTAATATCACCATTATTCTTTTAATTTAATTATAATATAATAAATATATATATATTTATATATGATATATATGTATTAATTTGGAAAAATTCTTTGATATTATGTATGTATGAAATGTTAAATGGTAGTTTTGTCTTGCATTATATTATATATATATATATAAATCTTTATTATTATTATTATTATATACATATATATATATATTGGTATATTTATATATATATATGTATGTGTGAATTATTATAGATTGTGCATATATGTATTTGAACATTTAGTATGTTTTCTTTATCTATGGATACAATGATATAAATTCTACATTTACGGTTCTTTGTTTACTTAACTTAACTTTTAAAATGTCCGCGAGCGAAATTTAAAATCCTTTTCTTAAGAAAAACAAACTAGAGACGAGAAAAAATCATCGAAATTCGTTATTTTTTTACAATAAATTTTATAAAAATTTAGTTTTATTTCGGTAAATAATATTTAAAAAAATGTTTATGTGGCGAAAAAAATGTCTTTGTTTGCGGGCGATCTACGACGACGATGTTCACTCGCTGGATTACAAGCACACTAACATTGAGGAGATACCTCCGGACGTGTTTCTCCACGAGAGAACTTTAGAAGTGTTGGACGTTCAATCTAATTTTATCACGCATCTGCCCAGAGTAAGCTGGCCCCGAATCATTTATTTATTTATTTTATTTTTTAATTTTTAAAATTTGTTCATGAAAAAATATTTATATCTGATAATTTTTATTTAAATAATTAATTATTTTAAAATCATCTTTTTATTTGTTGTTTATTGAGTTTAAACTTTAGTTTATTTAATTCTTTATTAGTTTTTTTCCATTACCGAACTAATCAATATAGGAGTTGTTCTTCTGTGCATGGCTGAAAAAATTAGTGCTGGCCGACAATGAAATAACTGAACTACCATCTGTGGTTGGAACTCTTATATATCTGGAAGAATTAGACATCAGTAAAAATGGTTAGGATTAAAAAAGAAAGAAAATTTATTTCTATTTCACAATAATAAAGTTTATTTATATGTCATAATATAATAATATTATTAATTTTTATTGACAAAATTTTTTATGGTTATAAATTTAAAAAATTTATATTATTTTTATTCATTATTATAGCATTGGTTAATATCCCAGAAGAAATACAATCTTGTCAAAACTTAAAATACATAGATTTCAGCTCAAACCCGTTAACAAAGTAAGACAGATAGAATTGATTGACTGATTGTTTGATGGAATGTGTGATCAATTTATAATTAGTTTCCTGATTGATTAATTATTAAATAATTATGATTAATTATTAAATAATTAATACTAATAAATAAATGAAATAATTTTCTCTAGGTTCCCAAATGGCCTATCAACTCTACTAACCCTAACAGAATTAAGTGCCAACGATTGCCTGCTACAGTCTTTACCTGATATGTCCAAGTAAGATTGTTTATTATTATTATTATTGTTGTTGTTATTATTATTATTATTGTTTATTGTTGTTATTATTAGGCTGAATTTTCTAGAAGTATTAGAATTGAGAGAAAACAAGATGACATCGTTGCCTGGTTCATTTTCGAGCTTGCATGCATTGCAGAAGCTCGATCTCGGAGACAACTATTTCACTAATTGGGTTAGCTTTTAATTATTATTTTTACTTTTTTAATAATAATAATTATTATAATATTATTATTATTATTTCATTGTTTGTATTTTCAGCCTGAGGAGTTGAACAGTTTGTATGGCTTGCAGGAGCTCTGGTTGGATAATAATAAACTGAAGAAAATTCCTTATGTAAGTAAAATGTTTGTATTGTTATTATTATATATTATTATTTAGTATTATTATAATTATAATTATTATTATTTTTTATTATTATAATTATTACTCATTGTCAGGGCATTGGAAACCTGAAATCCCTGTCCTTCCTAGAACTTTCGAAGAATTCGCTGAGCTGTATTGACGATGACATCTGCAATTGTGAAATGTTAACGCATCTCTACCTCTCGTTCAACCAGCTCTGTGAACTGCCTGTATCAATTGGTTAGTTGGCTGGTTGGGTCAGTTGGTTTGGTTGGGTTAGGTTGGTTGGTTGGCTGGTTGGTTGGTTGGTTGGTCGGTTGGTTAATTAATTGATTGATTGATAAAATAGATAAATTGATTGATTGAATAGTTAATTTCTCGCTTGGCTGATTGATTGATTGATTTATCAATAAATTATTTAGGAAACCTTAGAAAATTATTTGTGTTGAAAGTTGATAACAACTGCTTATCATCTTTACCTATATCTATTGACGGGTTTGTTTATATATATTTTTATACATTTTATTCTTTTATCATTCATTCATTCATTTTTCTATTTTACATGTTATTAATGTAGTCAATGTATTTATTTATCACTTCAATCATTCATCCATTCGTTTAGTTATTCACTGATTAATTAATTAATTCATTCATTCATTGACTAATTCATTTGTTAATTCACCTATTCATTAATTCATACATTCATTCCTTCCTTTAAATCCGTCAGTCTTTCGTCGCTGAATGAGTTAGATATTAGTAACAACAACGTTGAAAGCATGCCTGGCGGTGTTGGAGGGATGAAGATGATGATGACGATGATGGCTGATGACAATTTTCTCACCAGTCTGCCTGACGAGGTGGTAGTAGTGATGTTGATGATGATGGTGGTGATGTTGGTGGTGATAATGCCAGTAGCGATGATGATAATGATGATGATGGTGATGATGATGGTGAAGATGTTAGAAACGATGATGATGATGATGATGATGGTGATGATGTTAGAAGCGATGATGATGATGATGATGGTGATGATGTTAGTAGCAATGATGATGATGATGATGGTGAAGATATTATTGATGAATAATTACAATTCAGATATGCAGCTGCACCAGTTTGACGTTACTTTCACTGAGAAGGAACAACTTAACACATTTGCCAAGGGACATTGGTGGGTTTCTTCTCACTTTTTTTTACGCCGGCGCTACTCAATCTTTAGAGATTGAAGGACCACATAAAAAATGAAATGAAAATTAATGAATGAAATTTAATGAATGAAAGTTGTTGAAATGAAAACTACTGAAAATTTCGCTACTGGCGCACTCGAAATTTATTTATATATAATTATTATTTCATATAAAGACGGAACAGCTACACATAGTTAGCACATCATAGTTCTTAGTATAACTATTAGACTTAGAGAACTTACAGCCTCCACACTCGACTATAGGTGTATTAAAATTGTTATTTAGAATCATTTTTTTTATATATTTTAATAAATGTTTTAACTTCAAATTAAAAAGTATAATGTTCGTTTTACATTGATATTTGTATATAATGTATCTTACGGCGTCTCATCAATTTTTATATCAAATATGAAACAAATTGTAATTACAATTTCACTTGCTAACAATAATGAATAATGATAAACAGGCGGTTTTTTAACGTGCCAAGCGCGTTAGAAATAACGCTGCATTTAATTTTAGTGTGGGCCCTGAGCTTGCACAGTTGAGCATATCATATCCAACCCAAACGGGGCGTAATGCTCGAAAGACTCAATCGGAGTTCATTTTTCATTTTTTTATTAAAAAAAAACTTGCACTCCATATTTTGCTTGCGGACCACCAGGCAAATGTCCAAGGACCACAAGTGGTCCACAGGTTGAGAACCGCTGCTCTAGATTGCTTGTTCTTTCATTCATTCGTTCATTCATTTACTTGTACATACTGTCTCGTAATCTTCCACCAAAGAAGTTCGAGTTTTTGCATTACTCAGAAAGAAGGCTGTATGGTTGAAATATTTCTCCGACTGTCTCATAAAATTAAAAAAGTGGCTGGGGTAGCTACTACATACACTGCTGACTGCAGAGCGTGTAAATTATTAATATTATTATTATTACTATTGCTGTTCCGTAGGAGATCTGCGTAACATGAAGGTGATCAACTTGATTGACAATCGCATAAGTCGTCTGCCCGTTTCAATGTCAAGGTTGAAAGAGTTGAGATCGCTCTGGCTGGACGAGGACCAGGTCACGTGATTGATTGATTGACTGATTGATTAATCGATTGATTAATCAATTGATTAATTGATTGAGTGATTGATTGACTGATTGATTGAATAAATGGGTGGATGGATGAATGGACCTGTTCACTAGACTTCATTGTCCGATTGAGTTTTATTAAAAATATAAAACTCACGTCTGTAGAAATGCATTTAATAATTACACGGCAATTCACATAACAACAACAACAATAATAATAATAATTATTATTATTCACAACACTAATAATTATAATTATTATTATTATACCCACACAGATTAAACCGCTGGTACATTTGAAACAATCGACCGACGCCATTTTGAAAGAAAAATACCTTGTCTGCAGATACCTACCACAGGGTTGTTATAAATAATAATAATAATATTATTATTTATATTATATTATTAATTATTATGATAATAATAATTATCATTATGATGCTGATGATGATTTAGCTGATATAATAATAATAATATTATTATTATTAATTATTATGATAATAATAATTATCATTATGGTGCTGATGATGATTTAGCTGATATAATAATAATAATATTATAGCTATAGGTGATGATGATAGTGATGACACACCAACCATCATTATTATTATCGTTAATATCTAATTCCACTTTTCCCCGCAAGGTGCTCGTGATAATGATCTCCAATACGACGGTGATGCTAATGGTGGGGACGCTCGCCTCATAAACACATGCTACAATAATAATAATAATAATAATAATAATAATAATAATAGGAGAACTTCAATAAGGTTTGATTACTCTAGCCTGACCAAAAAGCACAATAATAATAATAACCTGAATGCTTGTAGCAGTGGCAAAATCCGAAGTTTGGGTGGTGTAAAAGGTGATTGTGATGATGAAGGGCACTATGGTTATGATAGTGATTATCAACAGGTTTGTTTGTTTGTTCGTTTGTTGGTTCGTTTGTTCGTTCGTTGCTACCGTAGTTGTTATTGTCGATGGTGGTGTTGTGTATTAATTTTTTTTTTTCATAATTTTTCACAGTTTGAAAACAAAGAGAACAGATTGAAATACAAAGACACTAAATACCCGACGAAGCAAAAATTACTACATCAACAGCAACAACATCAACAACAACAACAGCAGCAGCAGCTACTACTTAAGCGCCAGCAAGAAATAGCCCTATTGTATCAGCAACAACAACAACACCAACTACAACAACAATCAAAACATAATGGTAGTAAAAAAGGCAAGAGCGACGAAAAGATTTTGAAAGAGCAAAATAATATGCTGGTGTATAAATCATCGCCTAAACACCTACAACATCAGAAGCAACCACAACAACGTCATCAGGCAAAACAACAACAACAGCAGCAGCAAATACCAACAGGTGTTTTAAGACCTCAAAGCCGGTCTTTAAGTAACATGCAACAACAAAAACAACAACAACTGCAGCAACAATCACGCCAACAACATCAACCACCACAACAACAACAACAACATATTCTCAATTTGTCCAATGTCAATTTGAAAGGTTCTAAAATATCTCAAAAAAGTTCCATATCTATACCTAATCTCGATGCTCATGGGGGTATGTCTGTTGATGTATTGGTTGGCTGGTTGGTTGGATTGATTGACTGATTGGTTGACTGATTGGTTGATTGATTGAATGATTGATTGATTATCTGATCAACTATTGATTGATTGATTAATTGATTAATTGATTGGTGATTGGTTAGATTGACCGTTTGGTTGATTAACTTAATTATTAATTTATTCATAATTTAGTAATAATAATAATAATAATTAATAATTTTAGCGACAAGCTGGAGCCAGAATGCAAGGAGTGACGTCAACAACCGGAGAATCCATCTTTCCCGTCACAACACAAACAACAACAACAACCTCATTATAAACATAGACAACAAAAACATCAATAACACCGTCAACATAGATAAACACAACGTCAACATAGATACACACAATGTCAACATAGATACACACAACGTCAACATAGATACACACAACGTCAACATAGATACACACAATGTCAACATAGATACACACAACGTCAACATAGATACACACAACGTCAACATAGATACACACAACGTCAACATAGATACAAACACCGTCAACATAGATACAAACAACGACACAGACAGAGAAATTGAAATAAGCCTTCCGACTTCTGATCTCTCAAAACTCATCAAAAACCTCAGCTATCACTCATACGACGACTTCCTGGACAACCTGCGCCATCAGGGAATCGCCATACCCAAGAATAATAAACATAAACAAAGAAATAAACAACATAGACAACGCAGTAGTCGTAGTTCTTCTCGAAGCGCTGGTAATATTGGTAGTAGTAGTAGTGCTGAGAGTAAAAATAGCGAAGCAAATAGTAATAATAATAATAGTAATAATAATAATAATGAGATTACATGTGGTGCTAATATTAGTAATAGTGATGAAGCGAATAATAATAATAATAATGATGATGATGATCATGGCGATTCAATCATCAATTTTTGCAATGATTATAAGAATGATGATAATAGTAATATCCAATGAATGAATGACTGAGTGAGTGAAGGAGTGCGTGAATGAATGAGTGAGGGAATGAGTGAGTGAGTGAGTGAATGAAGGAGTGAAGGAGTAAGTGAGTAACAATAGAATTAACGGTTACGGATATGTAGATGTGTATATTTATTTTGGCTGTACCGTGTGTTCATTTGTATTTTTGTTCTTATTTCTCTCTCTCTCTCTTTCTCTCTCTTTTTCTCTCTTTCTCTCTCTGTGTTTCGTGTGCTTGTGTGCGTGCGAATTTTTTACTAAATTTATTTAATGTCTTATACACGTTCTACATATAACATATAAACATGAGCTAGTTTTTTGTTGTTTCATTTAAATTTTATGAATTTATAAGGTGAACTAATGATATTAATTAATAATTAATAAACTGATAATTATATTAAATTGATCGATCCTCACTGATCGATCGATCGATTGATTGATTGATTGATTGATTGATTGATTGATTGATTGATAAGAATTAAACGAATGGATAACCAAATAAAATTTTTCATTTGTAACTGGCTTAATTTCTATTACGATGATGACGATGTTAATTACATAGGCATATCAATCAATCTTCGTTAATATATATATATATATATATATCTATATATATATATATATATAATAGTAATAATATATACAATGATATATAGGTATATATATATGTGTGTGTGTGTGTGTGAGTGTGTGTATATATTAATTTATAACAATTTAAACGGAGATTTCTCCAAAATAAAAGCAATAATAATAATTATTATTATAATTACTATAATAATAATTATTATTATTATTATAGTTGTTATTATTATTATTTATTTATTATGCGTGGGCGGGCGGACGCAGGTGCCTGTGAAGAATTATGAAATGTGATGTGATGATCGGTGCATTTAAGAGAAACTAACTTTGATCATCATCATCATTAGCGTCTAGATGATGAGATGATGATGACGTATGATGATGACGTATGACATGTTATGATGATGATGATGAGGAGGATGGGATTAGTATGATGATGACGATGACATGTCAGGATGATGGGATTAGTGTGATGATAATCATCGTCGAGTGTATGTAACGGTCTGATTTGTAAGAAGGTTGGAAAAATCAAACTGAAAGTAAGAAGACAACTGCTTGAGTGAAGGTAAGATTGTGATTAATACATACATATATGCATGCATACATACATACATGCATACAAACCTATATACATACATACAAACATACATACATACGTATTAACATACATACATACATCCCTCATAGCTTTTCTCAGCAGCGGGGCAATACGATACGATACATTACGATTAATACATACATATAAACAAACATACATTCAATACATATTACATTGACATACAATATATATAAACATACAAACAAACACGCCTTACCTGTCAACGCCTTAAAGTTTACAGATTTGTATGTACGTACGTGAGTTCATCTCTTATACAGCTATGCAATTTTGGTGACGATTCTAATGATTTGATTCTGAAGAGGATGAAGACGATGATGATTACAAAGGTAAAGCACTTGAAAATACGTACATACGTACATGGGCAGACATGCATGAAAATATACACTGTATATCGTTGTTTTGTATGTTGGCATGGTAAGAACTGTTTGCTGTGTATGTATGTATGTATGTGTTTGTATGTATGTTTGTTTGTATGTACGTATGTATGTATGCATGTTTAGGTGTACAATATTGTACGCAAATATGTCTTTGTATGCGTACAAACATGTATGTCTGTATTTTTATTTGATCAATAAACAAAAACAATGCTTTTGTTTCTGCATGGCATGGCACTTTCTATACATTTGCATACATGCATTCATACATTCATTCATACATACATACATACATACATACATACATACATACATTCATTCATACATACATACATACATTCATTCATTCATACATACATACGTACATACATTCATACATACATACATTCATACATACACTCACACATACAAACCGACAGACATATATGAGTTAATTGTTTCTACACATGAACCAAATTAAAAATTCGGAGACCAAAAAAGAACCGTGAAAAGTTTTAAATGAAAATTTGTTATAATTAAATTAAAATTAATAGTAATACAGGTAACGATGATAATAAAATTAACAAATCAGCAGTAATTGAATTAGTACGCACACACAATCACACACACACACACCCACATATATATATATATATACGCTATATAATAAATAAATATATTTCATACTATATATATATATATATATATAATGTATTATTTACGTAATGTTATTTGTATGTTAGTGTTGTTAATGCGCTGTTTTCATCGCATCTGCCCATTAAAACTTGTAACGGAAAAAGGTATGCTCTTCTGTTCACTCATTTATTCTTTTTTTCATCCATGCACTCATTCATCTTTCATTAATTCACTCGTTCAATTAATTATAATTGACAGTTCAATTGTCATTCCATAACTTTACTAATCGACAACACAATCACTCATTCATTAACTCTTTCATTCAGTCCTTATTCATTCATTGATTCATCCAATCAGTCATCCACTTGTTCATTCATTCATCCAATCATTCATTCATTCAGATTTCGAACTGACGGCCAACCACCATAGCAGTTACTATTACCACCCGGAATGCAAGGATGAGCCGACGAAGTACCTTTGCCTATGTGGAACCGCCTTTACCTGGTCAACAAAATTTTGTGTTGGTCGGTTTTGTTGTTGTTGTGTCGGTCGGTTTTGTTGTTGTTGTGTCGGTCGGTTTTGTTGTTGTTGTGTCGGTCGGTTTTGTTGTTGTTGTGTCGGTCGGTTTTGTTGTTGTTGTGTCGGTCGGTTTTGTTGTTGTTGTGTCGGTCGGTTTTGTTGTTGTTTCGTAATGTTGTGAACGTTTAAATTTAATTCGTTCAATCCGCCATACACCTCCAACAAAACAGCCAACGGAGTGAATTCCCACTTCGAGTTCCCGACAACCAATCACAGCTCGGCCTTCCACTATGCCCTGCTTACGAACCAGCCCTTTCCGCCAATGACCAACTTCACCATCGCCTTCTGGGTCCGAGTTTTAGATCCCAATCACAACGGGATCGTGCTATCGTACGGCATTCGGAACGATAACTCCTCCATATTTACCTTCCGCAGTGGGCCCACTCTGTCGATGAAAATTTTCGAGTCTAATATCGTGACGAGTGTTCAGCTGGACAGGCAGAAGTGGTGCCACGTTGTTTGGACCTGGGTTCTCTGGAGAAATGGTTACTGTAATATTGACAGTGACGTCATAACGATGATAATTAATATAAATGATGTCATAATAACTTTCAGGGACGGCAGTGTGGAGTTTGTTCGTGAATGCCGTGCAGAGGGCGAGCGGACCTAAAACGAAAATCACCACATCATCATCGTCGTCGTCGTCATCATCGTCGTCGTCAAGTAATAAAACATCGCGTAGACAAAAAAAGCCGAAAAGATCTTTGCACAATAGCGGCGGAGCCGACGATGGTGATGAAGACGACGACGATGGTGATGAAGACGAAGACGATGGTGATGAAGACGAAGACGATGGTGATGAAGACGAAGACGACGATGATGATGAAGACGAAGACGACGATGATGATGACATCACTGTTAATGATTCTAACAACAACAACGACGACGATGATGATAATAATTCTGATATAAACAACACTAATCTCGATAACAATGAAAATATCATTACTGTGGATAATAAAGATAATGTTGCTAACGATGCAAATGACGTCAACAAAATGGAAGATGATGCCACTGAGAAAGCCACGATAGCGGCCGGCGGTGTATTAGTAATCGGCCACTCTTTCGTCGTCATCAACGATCAGGACGCCATTTTGAAAATGGCGGACGAGAATTGCTGCCATTTCCGTGGTGATCTCGGGTTTATACACGTCTGGGATTACGAGTTCAGTTTTGACGAGGTCACTTTTTTTTACAATTCAAGCCTTTAAGAAGTTTACCTTTAAAAAACTTCTAAAAAAGCGCTAGATAAATACGCATAATTATAATTATAATATTAATAATTATAATAATAATACCCACAAAATACGCTCATACGCAGGTGACGAACTTGTACAAAGATTGCAGGCTAACAATGGTTGGCAATGCCGTACAGTGGTCCAGTTTTAGGAGTGGGACTAGAGGAATCCGGATTAAGTGGCCGACGGATATTTTTGGTCGGTAGATGGCGGACGCGTTGTTCTTTCGAGTGTGTGTGTGTGTGTGTGTGTGTGGTGTGTATGTGTGTGTGGTGTGTGCGTGTATGAGTGTATATGGTTATTAATAAAGTTTCACTTTTCAACATTCCTCAGAGAATATGTATAAATGTGTGTGCGCGCTTGTGTGTGTATGCATGTGCGTGTGTGTGTATGTGATGTGTGTGTGTCTGTGTATCTATGTATGAATTTGTGTGTATATGTGTATTTATAATTTAAAAAAATTCAATGAATTAAGATGTGACGAGATGTTTTTCTGAAGAGGAGTCCACTCTGACGTGCAATCAGTATTGTAATCTAGTAAGAGGTGTGTGTGTGTGTGTGTGTGTGTGTGCGTGTGTGTGTGTGTGTGTGTGTGTGTGTGTGGAAGGTTCTTTGTCGATTCACTCATTTATCGACCTGTTTATCTTTTCGTTTGTTTGTTTCTTCATTCATTCATTCATCCATTAATTCATCTTTTTATTCATTCGTCTGCCCTTCTATTTATTCATCTACTCATTGGTTTACTGAATTATTGATTCGTTGTTTGATTAGTTGACTAATTCATTGATTGGTTGTTTGATTGAGTGATTGATTCATCCATTGATTCATCCATCCATCATTTATTCATTCATTTACTCATTCATTCATTCACTCATTCATTCATTCATTCATCCATCATTCATTCATTCATTCATTCACTCATTCATTTGCAGGGCCTAAATGTGCAGAGGAGATTCTTTCGAACATATTATGGAGTAGGACTACAGCCGACAGTTACGTGAAAGCTTCTTGCGACAGCTTCTCGCACGACGTCGCTAACGACAGCCACACTAGTACGAATGAATGAATGAATGAATGAATGATTGACGGGTGATACATGAATTGATGGATGAATAAACGAACAAATGGAAATAAACGAAGGAAAATAAATAGATAAATGCCCATATAAACCAATAGCTCAAAACAAGACACAATTATCCTAATTATAACCGTACATAGCCATTCACAAAAGAACCGTACATCACAAATGTAGCCATAATTATTTATAATATAATAATCATAATTTTGGTCATAATTATTCATAATATAATTTCCAAAAAAAATTGTAAGGGTACATACGAAGGCATTGTACTCGAACGTCGGATAACAGAGGCAAATGGATGTCTCCTGTTCTCAATGATTGTCTATCTAAACCGTATCTCGACATTGATATTCAGGTCATAATTATCTATAATTATTATTATGTTTATTTATTTATTTATTTGTTTGTTCTATCGTTCGTTTGTTCGTTCGTTCGTCCAACCAACAATTCACATTTTCAATCCATCTATTAAACAATTCGTTCGTTCGTTCACTCACTCGTTTGCTTGTTTGTTCATTTACTAATCGTTTGTTTGTTTGTTTGTTGATTAATTCATCATTCATTCATTCATTCATTCATTCATTCATTCATTCATTCATTCATTCATTCATTCATTCATTCATTCATTCATTCATCCTTTCATTCAGAGATATTTTATTTTCTGATCTAATTTTAGGTGAAACGTTTCCTAAAACAACATCAGCAGCAACAACAGCAGCAGCAGCAACAACAACAGCTGCAACAACTACAGCAGCAACATGGCGAAAAGTTAGAGGCCGAATTGAAACTAATCTTGAACATGCTGAACAGCCTGAGGCATAAGACACAACCGGACAACATCATGGATATTTCAACTCTTATCAAATCCGTTTGCAATCTCATCGAGTTTCAGGTTATTTTTCCGTCTTCCAGGTCAATAATTGTTTGTTATTCTTAGCGAGGAAAGCTTTTTTTGGCGATCAAAGCTGTCGAGGCATCTGAATCCGAGCAAGAAATACAAAAATTGAATAGAAATTAACAATTTTTATCAATCACTCAAAGTTGACAAAACATTTTACACATACAAAACCAGAATGCGGCCTTGATAAAACTACTAAAACTCTACTACAACAACAACAACAACAACAACAAAGATGATAATACAAAGTTTCCACCGGATTTCATTCGAAAGTTGGACATGTTTGGGATAAGTAGGAAGCAGGATAGGATGGTTTATCCGACAATTTCAGACTCCGACCAGTTCATAAAAGTTATTATGGTTTATTATTTTCATTATTATCAATGTTTATATTCATAATAATAATAATTATTATTATAATTATTATAATAATTATTATTGTTACCCCAACTAATACAGAACATATCGTCAACTCTAGATGGTTTACTTCAGCCTGAAAACATTTGGCTCTGGTTGAATTCAAACCCACCCGGATCGGAACCTGACGCATTACTAGTGACTCTAGAACATTTGGCTGATTTAGTGGCAAACTCTTTACACTTTCATCTAGCGAGGGGCGATTTAGTGATTAAAGATAAGGAGTCCTATGTTAACGTTACATTTTCTAGATTTGGTTTGTCTTGCCAATGAATGCAACGAATGAATCAATAAATCAATCAATTTATCATTCAATCTATCATTCAATCTATCATTCAATCAATATCATTCAATCTATCATTCAATCAATATCATTCAATCTATCATTCAATCTATCATTCAATCTATCATTCAATCTATCATTCAATCTATCATTCAATCTATCATTCAATCTATCATTCAATCTATATCATTCAATCTATCATTCAATCTATATCATTCAATCTATCATTCAATTTATCAATCTACTACTACTAATGCTAATAATAATAATATCGACAAAGAAATGAAAGTCGGTATGTTTAAGCGAAACCGGCTGAACGAGACGTACATACCGACCTGGTTGGAGAATCGAGTCTGGTCCCGAGATTCCAATTTCTCGGTATCCTTAGAACCGTCTCAATTCCATTCTCGTCACAATCCTCACTCAAATCTGGTCGATTTTACCGGTATGTATATATTATGAATATATTTCTTGCAGTTGGATGCTGTTTTTTACTGGTAATGTTCTTCTGGCAAATCAACATAATCTAATATAACTATAATAAAATAAAAATTAAAATAATTATTATAAATAATAATTATTATAAATAATGATAATTTTTCAAGAGAGAAGCGAATACGAACCGTACACGTTCGGTATCGTCCACGTTTCAAACATTCTCAACGATAATCACCACGAGTAAATGAATTAATGAATGGATGAATGGGTGAATGAATGGATGAATGAATGAATAAGTAAGTGAATGAATGAATGAATGAATGAATGGGTGAATGGGTGAATGAATGAATGAATGATTGATTGAAGGAATGGACAAATAAGTAGAAGAATTAATAATTAAATTAACGTCACAGCAATGAGACGAGAAGACTGAATACGCCTTTGTTCTTCTTCAAACGACATCATCATCATCAGGATCGAGATAGAAAATCATCATCATCGTCGTCGTCTTCCTCCTTTTCCTCCTCATCATCATCATCGTCGTCATCATCTTTGCCCCATGTTGCAAAATTAAATTTGACATTCTCACTGTCCATTGTTAGTTGTATTGTATTAGATCATCATCATTTTCATCATCATCATCGTCGTCGTCATCATCGCTTTTATCACCATTATCATCATTATCATTAAGATTGTCGTCGTCATCATCATCAAGATTGTCGTCGTCATCATCATCGTCATCATCATCATCATTATTCAGACATCCAACATATCAAATCGGGAATGTGTAACTGTGAAACATGCAAACAAGTAAGTTTCGTGAATGAATGAGTGAATGAATGAACGAATGAATGAATAAATGAATGAGAGAAAGAATATCACAACAACACAACAGCAACAACAACACAACAACAACAACAACGAAACGACTAGGTCAACAAAATGGACATGGTCAGCCAAGGAATGCAACTTGTTACTCGCCAACGTAACACACGCAACATGCCAATGCACAGGCGAGGGATTTTACGGATTGCTATCTGATCTCTTTGACATTAATGTGATTTCATTCATTTATTTTTGTTTGTTCTCTCGTTCATCCACTCATTCATTCGTTCATGCATTCATTCATATATTCATTCATTCGTTCATTCGTTTGTTCGTTTGTTTGTTTGTTTGTTCGTTCGTTCGTTCATTCATTCATTCATTTGTTTGTTAACTATATTTTATTCTTTTGTTTGTTTGTTTGTTCATTCATATTTAATTAACTAGCTAACAACAACCACAACAACTACAACCTCAACAACCACAACTACAAAAACAACAGCCACAACGACAACCACAACAACAACTACTACTACTACAACTACATCAACAACTACAACTACTACTACTACAAATAATAATAATAAAAATAATATTCATTATAGTTATGATTATGATGATTGTTGTGACCAGTATGTACCACCGGAAGCGGATCTGACCTTTGTAACCTACCCCTCATACATTGGCTCCCTCGGATCTGTGGCGTTCTGTGGCTATACGCTGATACTGCTTATATACTACAAGTATTATTATTATTATTATTATTATTATTATTTCGTAGTTGTTATAGTAGCAGCAGCAGTAATAGTAGTTGTAGTAGAAGTAGTAGTAGTAGTGGTAGTAGTAGTAGTAGTAGTAGTAGTAGTAGTGGTACTGGTAGTAGTAATAGTAGTAGTAGTAGTAGTAATACTAGTAGTAGTAGTAGTAGTAGTAGTAGTAGTAGTAGTAGTAGTAGTAATAGTAGTAGCAGTAGTAATAGGAGTAGAAGAACGGAATAGTATTCTCATTTAAGTTAGAGGTTGATTGAATTTTTTCCATTGTTAATCAGTTGGTAAATAAGCTAATTGATTGATTGATTGGTTGGCAAATTATGATTATTAATAATAGTTAATTATAATTATAATTATGATCATAATTACGTAGGTCAAGGACGAAGGCAACAGCCACACACAGACACCTGGCGGTCACCATCATCGCTCAACATCTCGTGTTTTTGTTCGGCACTGAACAAATTAAAATTAAGGTGTGTGTGTTTGTTTGTGTTTGTGTGTGTGTGTGTTTGTGTGTGCGTGTATGTGTGTGTGTGTTTGTATTATTTTGTATATAAAATACTTAAATTACCTAAACTTTGTATAAAATACATGAATTTTGTGTGAGCATACCAAATTTGCTCTCAATGTACTGAACACAGTTTCTATATTTGAATATATACAAATTTTGTATAAATACACATGAATTTTGTATAAATACACATGAATTTTGTGTAAATACACATAAGTTTTTTATAAATATACATGAATTTTGTATAAATATACATAAATTTTGTATAGACATACATAAATTTTGTATAAAAAATACCTAAAAACAGATTGTATGCATCCTCTCAGCGGTATTTCAGCACTTTTTAACGTTGTCATCATTCTGCTGGCTGATGAACGAGGCATTCAACTTGTACATCGTCATAACCTACTCCGCCCACTCCAGGGCCGATGAGGATGAAAACGAAGGCGGAAATATGATCAAGTATTACGTCATCGGATATGGTTCGTTGTCCTTCTCTGATTGGTCGGTCGGTTGAGTGGTTGATTGACTGATTGATTGGTTTGATTGGTTGGTTGGTTTAATTGATTGATTGATAGCTTATAGATTGATAAGTTGATTGATGGAAAAAGTTGTTGGTTGATTAATCTGTCAGTTATATTAACTTATGGGTAGATGGATTACTAAATGGATGAATGAATGAATTAATGAATGAATGTATGTATAATTGGTTGGTCAGTTAATGAATGAACAAATGAATGAATTAGCGAACAAATAAATAATTGAATGAATAACTCAACCAATCACAAAGCTTTTCCGTTTGTCTACACTGGATCGTTCTTCTGCATTAAACTTAAGAGCTACGTCTCCACACAAATGTTGGTACATACTACTACTACTACTACTACTACTACTACTACTACTACTACTACTACTACTACTACTACTACTACTACTACTACAACTATTACTACTACTACTACTACTACTACCACTACCACAATCGCTACCATTATGGCAACCACTACCGTTATTACTACTGCTAATAATAATAATAATAACGATAACTATGATTATAAGTTATAACAATAATTAAATTATTATTATTATTATTGTGTAGGTGTTACATTGCCTGGAATCATCTGTGGTTCCTGGTGGCTCCAGTCTTTATTGTTCTTATCGTTAGCCTTGCTACTGTATATTCATGCGTACATACATATATGCATACGAAACGAAACGAAACGAAATTTTATTTGCTTCTCAAAATTGAAAATTAAAATAAATAAATAAATAATTAATATACACACATACATACATACATACATACATACATACATACATACATACATACATACATACATACATACATACATACATACATACATACATACATACATACATACATACATACATACATACATACATACATACACACACACACACACACACACACACACACACATACATACATACATACATACATACATACACACATACAAAAACAATTTTTTGCCAAAGAATTAATCCGGCTATCGTCAATATTTTTCCACAGAAACTGCACTCATTGATATTTTCTCCCAGTTGTTCTCTTCAGTTGACAGTCAATGCGTTTCTTTTTTAGCATTACTTGATATGAGTGCTGCATTTGATTGTGTCGATCATACTCGTCTCATATATAAACTCTCCACAAATTTTTTTCTCTCTGATTCAGTCTTATCGTGGTTCGCTTCCTATCTTTTAGGCCGCACCCAGCAGGTTTCTTACAACAACACCCTCTCTGACATAAACAAACTATCGTTTGGTGTCCCCCAGGGATCTGTGTTGGGACCTCTGTTGTTTCTTATGTACACTGCTGATGTTTTTGATATCATTCAAAAATATGAGTTCAGCTCCCACGCCTTTGCTGATGATATTCAGTTATTGGTTTCTTGTCCTGTTGATTCGATTGATGCTTCTCTGAATGAACTGACTGACTGTCTCATCGAAATTGTATCTTGGATGAGTATGAATCAGTTAAAGTTAAATCAATCTAAAACACAAATATTACCGGTTGGTTCTTGGCAGCAGCTGTCGAAGGTCAACATTCCATCGATCAGTGTCGGCAATGACATCATTGAATTTTCCACATCTGTCCGTAGTCTTGGAGTTATTATTGACTCAAACTTAAAGATGGATTTACATATTAATAATTTAGTGAGGGTCTGCTCCAACCAATTCCGTTTATTACGCAATGTCAAAAAATCACTAAACACGTCTGTTCTTCAAAGCTTGGTTTCCTCTTTTCCAGACTAGACTACTGCAATGGCCTTTTTATGGTGTCACCAAAAGGTCTTTTTCAAAGCTTCAGTCAATACAGAATCGTGCGGCCAAGCTGGTTTTGGGTGGTTCATGGTTTGATCATGTTACGCCTATTTTGAACAGGTTGCACTGGTTGAGGGTTGAAAAACGTGTTTCCTTCAAGTTGGCAGTTTTGATGTTTAAATGTGTCAATAATACAGCACCTCCCTACCTCATCGATAGATTGGAATCATACAAATCTCATTTTTCAAAATATTCCTTCCGATCAACCGAGCGCAATTTATTTTTTATCCCGACCACAAAGTTGGTGACGGGTTCCCGCAACTTTGCGGTTCTTGGCCCGATTGTTTGGAATGGTTTACCTCCATACTTACGTGACCCTAACCTATCATATTTACAATTTCGAAGTCAACTTAAAACTTATTTATTTGCACAATGAATGTCCGTCTTATTTGTCTATGATTTAGTAGCGCTTTTGAGATTCAACAATAAAAAAGCGCTGTATATAAATTTCCGTAATAATAATAATACATACACACACACACACACACACATACATACATACATATATGCATACATACATACACACACACATACATACATACATGCATACACACAGACATGCATACACACATACATGCATACACACATACACACATACATACATACATATATACAATCCAGGTTTCTTTGCTGGTTCTCGTGTTTACGATCAAAGAGCAAACTGAAAGTTCCTACTCGAAAAATGAAAAAACGAACGAAACTATAAAGTATTAAAAAACATCATCATCACCATCATCATCGCCTTCATCGTCATCATCATCATCATCGTCAATGATCGTCGTCATCATCTTTGCATTATCTTTGTGAACGAAAATGCAAATTTACACAAATGGGAACAAACAAACATACATATACATACATACAAACAAACATACATATACATACATACAAACAAATATACAAACAAACAAACAGTATATATTCAAAGGCCTTGTGGACCCAAGCAGTTTTGATGTGCATCTGCTGCTTGCTAACTCTCGCCTCGCTGAATCTGCCAGGAAATATGATTAAGTTTTTGCTTGCATTTTTCAACATTTTGCAAGTATGTATGTATGTATGTATGTATGTATGTATGTATGTATGTATGTATGTATGTATGTATGTATGTATGTATGTATGTATGTATGTATGTATGTATGTATGTATGTATGTATGTATGTATGTATGTATGTATGTATATGTATGTATATGTATGTATGCATGCATGTATGTGTGTGTGTATGTATGCATGTATGTATGCGTGTATGTTAAAACCAAAACATGATAAATGACACTGAACCATCAAACATCAAGTAACAATTTGATTTGTCGTTAATTGCACCCGCCGGCATTCATTTGGAATGTATGTATGTAGGTTTGCTTGTTCGTTTGTTTGTATGTTTGTATATATGTATGTGTGAAGTTGTGACGATTGGGATGATAATGATTGCGCGATTGAGATATGCCGCCTGTATGGTGATGATAATGATTGCGCGATTGAAATATGCCGCCAGTATATTTTGTGAAATTGTGATGATAATGATTGCGTCTTTGAGGCGTGCCGCCTATACATATCTATATATTTTACTAGTCATTCTATGCATGTATACTTTGTTATTTGATATGCTATATAAGCGACGCTGCTGTGCTGTATCGCTTTTCTGAGTATAGGAAGAGAGTATAGATAGGAGTATAGAATTTTCTATGATATAGGAAGCATTATGTAGATAGGGTGGTAAAAACATATAAAAGGCCGCGAGTTAAGATATTGTGAGGTTGGTCGTTTGTTATCTTAATTTTAGGTTTTGGTCTCTTGCTTGTCAGTTGTATTATTAATAGATTAATTTTGGACTTATCGTTTTGTTTTAATAAGGACAGAGGTTTGATTTGTATTATTTTGTTTGTTATTTTATTTCTTTTATTGAATAAAAGAAGTGTACACTTGAAGTTTGGCTCGACTTAATTATTCTACCTAAAATAATGGATGTTGAAGAAGACTTGTTGATAGTTGACGAGGTCGGCGTCTCTAGTCAACAAGCAGGGCGCGAACAAACTTCCGCCCGGCCCGTGTTTTCAGACCCTGAGAGGGTCTATTGTAGAGTGGCGGATCCCGGCCAGGAAAGACTCCGCCGAAGCGAAGGCTCGGGTGGATATTCGTATGCGGACGCGGTTCGGGACCGCGTGGTGCGGAATTCGAATGTCGCCCGGCGAAAATCTACAATTGGCGCCCAACGTGGGGCCTCTTTTTCAAACATTACAGATTTTAGGTGCAGCAGGAGCCAAGGTGATTCTCCAAATTTTTTAGGTGACAGGTGCCATGTTCGACAACATGAAACTTTTTTAGATTTTAGGTCACAGGAACCGAAGGAGGATCGAAGATCAACCTCGAGCAGACTTTCAACGCCCGCCAGCCAACAAAATGAAATTGTTTTAAATAACAATCGTTTTGAAATTGTTGACAGGTACGAAGAAAAGCCGCGCATTGATTTTTCAGCAAATAATTTAGGTTACAGGTTTATCCCCAAACAGGATATTTTAGGTTTTAGGTGCCAGGGTGATCCGAAGTTGCAGGAGTTCGGACTGAATAAGCTGCGATTAGCGTCCAGTAGATCACGGCGAAATAAAATTTTAGGTAACTGCAACAGGTGCAGAGCGACCGAGCGAGAGAGAGACACAGTTGAACACAAGTCGACGAGTCGGGAACCGCTTCATTCAACTGGTATGAAGTCTCAGGTTCATCAACCGCGTATAGGTGCCGAGCGTGACAACGACTTTTGTCGTCGCGAATTGCTTCGACCTGACAGATTTGATGGCACCGGCTGTCTCAAAACTTTCTTTAAAAAGTTTGAGATATGTGCCAGGTACAATAATTGGAATCTCGTAGACATGGAAGCGTATTTGTCATGTTCGTTAACAGGTGAAGCTTCACAGGTTCTCTGGGATTTAACAGGTTTAGGTTACCAAGAGCTGGTATCTAAGCTAGAAGATCGTTTTGGAACAAGAGGTCATGAAGAGTCATACAGGTACGAATTACAGATTCTTCGTCAAAAACCTGGTGAGTCGTTACGAGAGTTGTCAATGGTTACTAAAAGACTCATGTCATTAGCCTATCCAGGAGAGTAGTCAAGATTAGCTACACATCTAGCTAGGGACTTTTTCTTGTCAGCCCTCGATAATGCTGAATTAGAATTAAAGGTTAAGGAAAAAGAACCAAAGAACATTGACGATGCTCTTAGATTCGCACAGCGTCTTGAAGTTTCAAAGATGGTGGTAGATTCATCTCACAGGTTTGACCCGCAGGTTAAAGATTTTCAAGCAGGGGCAGAAAACATGGAGTCAATGGTACGACAGATTGCGTTCCTTCAAAAATCATTCGAAGAACTCAGAAATAAAAGAGTGCAGCCAACGGTATCCCGAGTTGAGCGAGAGAAAATTTGTTTTAATTGTAAGAAGCCAGGTCATCTTGCAGTCAAATGTCCTCAGAAGAATGAGACCTGCAAATCCCAAACTTATAGTCAAGTGAATTTCAAAGGTTGTTACAAATGTGGAAAGACAGGTCATTTTGTGAGGGAATGCCCGCAAAAAGGAATAACAAGCAGCACAGTGGATCACGTGAACAAGTCAATTGAAAATAACGATCGTGTCTTGTATCTGCCAATCACAATTAATGGCAAAAGAAGATTAGGTTTACTTGATAGTGGCAGTAGTGTATCCATTGTTCCAACGTCTATGGTTGATGTCACAAAGATCAGACCGACGAAAAAGAGATTGAAAGCTGTCAACAACACAGAAATTCCAGTCAAAGGAGAAATGAAGTTGCAAATTAAAGTTGATGATTATTCCAAATCAGCGTTAGTGTTGGTGTCTGATCATGTTTCAGAAATTGTTTTAGGTTTAGATTGGCTCAGGAACAATCATATCTCGTGGAAGTTTGGCGAAGGAAAAATCGCCGTGGGTAACAAAAATAGAACGATGAAATTAGTTATTAAACATTTTTCATGCAGGAAGCTTTGTCGTATTGAAGCTCACACAGAAGTGCGCATCCCTGCGCAGACTGAATTAGACGTGCCAGCAAAGATGATTGTTCGCCAGCCGTCCAAGTTAGAATCGACCGGATTTATGTGTTCGGAAAACAGACAAATAGAATCGGGTGTATATGTAGCTAGAACGTTACTACCTATAAAATATGAAAGACAGTGTGTTAGGATCTTGAATGTCAACGATCAGCCGGGGGTGATAAACCGGGGAACGCGATTGCCAGATTTATCATCGGCTGTGGAAGCAAAGGAATCAGTTGATCGTCTAGCATATGAAAATCTAACAGAAGTTACAGGTATGGTTGATGGATTAGTAAAAGATATTTTTAAGAAAGCTAGAGAAGAGTTGATTCAAATACTTAAAAGTTTCTCAGACAGATTTAGCTGTGCGAGTGGGGAAATAGGTGCTACAAAAGGAGTTTTTCATAAGATTTATACTCAGGATGCACGACCGGTAAAACAACAGCTGAGGCGACATACTCCGGCGCATCAGAAGGTGATTGCGGAACAGGTTGAGCCTGAAGACATCGCAGAAGACGATTCCATAGGGGAGCCAACAGAAGCACCATCACGAAGTAGCGACGAGTCGACCGAGTCGCTTGTCCAAACCTGGACAGGCGAAGATACGCCAGAATTTTTAACAGGGCAGCCGGACATCGTTCCAGAACTTGTGAAGCTTGCTGACGAACTCTTTGATCAGCGACCAGATTTGTTTGCCGTAGGTAACCAGCCATCGATGGACCTGTTTGCTGGTCTGGACGAACGACCGACAGAAAACGATCAGCAACTGACGGAAACTCAATCGAGCACGACGGCCACAACAAAAAGAAAAAGGAGGAAACCGACGAGGTGGGGACCGGAGCTAGAAAGATGGATGGTGGAAGTTCCTGAGTCTGGTGAAGATCTATAAGAGCAAACGTCAGGACGACGTTTTAGAGGGTGGGGAGCTTTGTGAAGTTGTGACGATTGGGATGATAATGATTGCGCGATTGAGATATGCCGCCTGTATGGTGATGATAATGATTGCGCGATTGAAATATGCCGCCTGTATATTTTGTGAAATTGTGATGATAATGATTGCGTCTTTGAGGCGTGCCGCCTATACATATCTATATATTTTACTAGTCATTCTATGCATGTATACTTTGTTATTTGATATGCTATATAAGCGACGCTGCTGTGCTGTATCGCTTTTCTGAGTATAGGAAGAGAGTATAGATAGGAGTATAGAATTTTCTATGATATAGAAAGCATTATGTAGATAGGGTGGTAAAAACATATAAAAGGCCGCGAGTTAAGATATTGTGAGGCTGGTCGTTTGTTATCTTAATTTTAGGTTTTGGTCTCTTGCTTGTCAGTTGTATTATTAATAGATTAATTTTGGACTTATCGTTTTGTTTTAATAAGGACAGAGGTTTGATTTGTATTATTTTGTTTGTTATTTTATTTCTTTTATTGAATAAAAGAAGTGTACACTTGAAGTTTGGCTCGACTTAATTATTCTACCTAAAATAATGGATGTTGAAGAAGACTTGTTGATAGTTGACGAGGTCGGCGTCTCTAGTCAACAAGCAGGGCGCGAACAAACTTCCGCCCGGCCCGTGTTTTCAGACCCTGAGAGGGTCTATTGTAGAGTGGCGGATCCCGGCCAGGAAAGACTCCGCCGAAGCGAAGGCTCGGGTGGATATTCGTATGCGGACGCGGTTCGGGACCGCGTGGTGCGGAATTCGAATGTCGCCCGGCGAAAATCTACATATGTAAATTAGTATGTATGTATGCTTTTATGTTTGGTTGTTTGTATGTATGCATGTTTGTATGTATGTAATTTATTTATCTTGATCATTTTTTTCTTCACTAGGGTATATTCTTCTATACATTCTTCTACTTTTTGAACGACGAGGTATTATTATTATTATAATTATTATTATAATAATAATATATAATAATAATAATAATTATTATTATTATTATTATTATTACTATTGATATTATTAATATATATTTTAATATCCATTGGATTTGTTTATTATTCGACTATGTCTGCTTAACAACTAATAGAACTGACAAATCAGATTCGTGAAGAATTATTTAGTCAGTCAATCAGTTGATCAGATAACCAATCAACTACCCAATCAACAAACCAACCAATCGATCAACCAATCAATCAATCAACCAATCAGTCAACTAATCAACCAATCATTCAACTTATCAATCAATCAACCAATCAGTCAACTAATCAACCAATCATTCAACTCATCAATCAACCAATCAGTCAACTAATCAGCCAATTATTCAACTCATCAACCAACCAAACAATCAGGTTCGTCAGCGTCCCACGAGAAGAAAATGTTTTGGTAGGAGAGAAAGTGGAAGAAGAAATGTCGAAATGACTATGATGGTAATGATTGTTTTTTTTCTTTTTTTGGTTCATTCATTTCATCGTTTAATCGTTCATTCGTTCGTTCTTTCGTTCGTTCGTTTGTTCGTTCAATTACGTATTAATTTTTTCCAATTTAACAATAGTTCATTAACTATTAAACATTAACCAATCAAAAACAATCAGCCAACCAACCAACCAATGAACCAACCAACCAATCAATGAACCAACCAATCAATGAACCAACCAATCAGCCATCAAGACCTTCTGAAATTCTCTGGGACCGCGAATATCCGACTCGAGTTTTGGCTCGAAAAGAAAATGAAAAGCTATTGCGATTTAACGATACCGAAACAACGGCACATCCCTACAATCAAAACGTTGATGACGAAGTCAAATATGGCGATAACGACGACGATGACAATTTTAATGGCGTAAGCTATGGCAGAAGCGAAATCGTTACTACGGTCTAGCGGTATTACTATTCGGTTTCGCGATTACGGTTTAGATTCGATTTTACGGTATTCGATACTGGATATTGTTTTAATGGTTTTAGAGTTAATGTTCGATATAGATGATTGATATTTGACCTAAGTAATCGGTATTCGGTGTAAAGAGTGATCGATATTTGATATAAAGATTCGATATAACATCACTTTTTTTTTAAATTTGTCAAGTGTGTAATGTAATTCTTTGTTCTATTTGTACTTTTTAAAAGTAGTATCTACATGCATGCGTGTACAAATATAACACACACAATACACATAAGCACGCACACACACACATACACACCACACACATACAAACACAAACTATTGTTAAATTTTATTATTAATATTATTGTTTAGTTTCAATACAATGAAATACAATAAGCTAAACTAATAATAATAATAATAAAAATAATAAATTATATTAAAAACAATAAATTAGAAAATTACTGGCAGGCAAAACACAAAAAACCGTTCTAATATTACGCGGTAGTACTGCAATGTGTGACAGTATGTGTACATTCATGTGTGTGTGTGTGTGTGTGTGTGTGTGAATGTGTGTGCGTGAATGTGTGTGTGCGTGAATGTATGTGTGTGTGAGTGAGTGTGAGTGTTTGTGTGTTATATACATAAAAATATACATTCTTTGACCAGATAGCTATTGTTGTAATGAGAACATAAAATGATATCAAACAGAAAAAATAAATTAAAAAACATCAGATAGAAAGAAAGAAAGAAAGAAAGAAAGAATGAATAAATGAACGAATGAATAAATATGCCAGATCATAGAGATATCAGATTGATAAATAAAAGTTGTACAAACATGCTCACACACGTTCGCGCATACAAATTAAGGATAAATATGATATATATAATGATATATATATATATATATATATATATATATATATATATATATATATATAGAATATATATATATATTTAGGTTCCAACTCCCAGAAAATTTCAACTTCATAATCTCACTAAATAGCACTACCCGATGAAAGATGCCTTACTAAAACACTTGGAGCCAGTCACTGTTATTGTCTTTCTTAGTAAATTTACTCTAAATTTTAACTTTTGAAAGATACCGAAAGAAAATTGGGTGGTTTTATTTCCAATTGAAATCAATCAATCTTCGTTTTTCGTCCAGAGACCCGGTTTCCCGAGGTACTGAAAGAAAATTAAGTGACTCTATTTCTATCAATTTCCAATACACGGGTATGTCTTCCGTAGAACAGATCTTTAAGAAAGATTTTTAAATGAGGATTTCTGAAAAATATTTTAACTTCAAGACTTCAGGGGATCGAATCCGACTTAGGCAAAAAGTTTCGACACTGCATAAATAACATAAATAATTTTCTAAATACAACTAACAGAAAACTATCTGAAGAAAATCCATCAATAAAAATAATAATAATAAAAATAATAGTAATAATAATAAAAATAACAATAATAATAATAAATGGTTAATGGAATGCGTTTTTAAACAAGAGACCGCAAGGTAAAAAGAAAAATGTTTGTCACACCACATACACACACTAAGTGAACGCATTACATAAGACCCGCTAAATGAGAATAAACTAAATGAGTAAAACACACGGCGAAACATTCATTATACTGATGTAAATTTCTCCAGATCGTTACTAATACTTCAACTACTATTAGTAGTATTATTAGTTACAAATACTGCTAATACTAGGAGTGCCATTACTAAAATTTTTAAAATTACTTTAATACCTGTTAAATAACTCTCTCTCTCTCTCTCTCTCTCTCTCTCTCTCTCTCTCTTTAATGATTGGAAATAATTATATTTCTTCCCTTCTCTCTACATCTTTGTTCCTCATTCTTTTTTTCTTCCATCATCTTTCACCCTCTCTCTCTTCCTCTCTCTCTCTCTCCCTGTCTCTCTCTCTCTCCCTCTCTCATTCACTGAGTATAAAAAACTCTATAATAAACTTTCTTAGACCTCCAGAGGGAATAGGAGTTGTCGAATTTGAAGAGGTAAACTCCTGGGCCTGGATAGGTGTGGCTGCCACATTGCACTAACTGGTGGGAGTCCAGTCTGCCTAACTGGATGACCTCCTCGGTTGGGGCCTCTTTCTTGTCGGCCAGTAGAGATGTGCTGGTCTGGTCGCTTGTAGCGCTGTGTAAGGGCATGGCGTTGTGGTCCCCTGGTGTTGTCGTAGTGGGAAATTAATTTCGGGCGGTTGAAATTGAAATGACGACACATAGATGATAAAAACAAAGAAATGAAAAAAAACCTAAATCGATATAATCCTCGTTGCTGTCTTCACCGCCGTTGTCCTCGCAGTTACAATCATCGTCTTCACAATCATCATCATCATCGTTGTCCTCATCATCATCATCATCGCCACCGTGGATGTACCATTCGAAGTAGACGGCGAACCCGATGTCGTAGTAGTCCGTGGCGAACTCCCAAAACAAACAGGACCCGCCATCGTGGGTGGGCACCCGGACCTGGTTATGATGATGATGATGATGACGTTGATGAAGTTATGATGATGATGATGTTGGAGAAGTTATGATGATGATGTTGGCGTGTTGATGATGATGATGATAACGTTGGTGAAGTTATGATGATGATGACGTTGGTGAAGTTATGATGATGAAGGTGATGTTGGTGTGTTGATGATGATGATATGACGCTAAGGTAATGATGACATTGGTAATTCGGTAATGCTAACGAATACAACAATAGCAACAGGTGTGTAGGAACAAAAATACCGCAAAATTCAAGCAAATACATCACAAAGTAGAACTGAAATACTCTAAAAAAAACCCCAAACAAATACAAACAATCACATGACATACAAACAAATACACCTAAAATATCTCAAAATACCCACAGTGACGATCTCTCCAGACCCGACTTCTAGTACCGAATCCAGATCGTCTCGTAGCATCTCTTTGAATTCTTTGATGTATGCCTTCGTCCAAGTCGATGGCATATCCAACAATGGTAGGTCGTCTGAATAATCAGCCAATCAAAATCAATCAATCGATTGATCAACCAATCAGCCAACTAGCCAACTCAACCAATCAAAATCGATCAATCGATTGATCAACCAATCAGCCAACTAGCCAACTCAACCAATCAAAATCGATCAATCGATTGATCAACCAATCAGCCAACTCAACCAGTAAAAATCAATCAATCGATTGATCAACCAATCAGCCAACTAAACCAATCAAAATCGATCAATCATTCAATCAACTGACTTAAATCAACGATCGTTTTGTTGCTCAAATCTAATGACGCTTTTTCATGAACATTATCATTGTTGTCATCATCATTTTTGCTCTCAGAAGTAGTAGTAGCAGTAGTAACGGTTGATGGTGGCGATAGTAATGACGCCGACGATGATGACGTCAATTTTTTGCTTTCGTTTGTATCATTATCATCATCAACATCGTCTTCGTCGTCGTCTTCGTCATCGTCCTCATCTTCAAATTTTCTTTCGTTAGATTTTATTGTAGTTGTCTTGCTGCAGTCGTTGTTGATTGGAGTCGTCGGTGACGTCATCGATTGACATTTCTTAAACAGCTGTCTCAGCTGCTTAGCTTCTAATTTTCTCAGAGCTTTTTGTTGCTGTGTTGTTGTGTTGATTGGTCGAATGAACAAACAAACAAACCAGTGAATGAACGAACGAACGAACGAATGAATGAATGAATGAAACGAATGAACGAATAAATGAATTTTGGAATAAGAAGAGAATAAATGAATAATTGACTGTAACGTGATATCAATTCTGCCATTATAACCATCACCACTATCACAATCATCATCATCAGCAGCAGCAGTAGTAGCAGCAGTGCAGCGTCATCAATACCACAACCTTATAAATATCGTCAGGATATCGCAACATCACAAGCTTCAGCAGCATTGGTTTCATTTGTCTCATAAAATTCTCTTTGATCTCTTCTCTGCAATAATTAAAATTATAAAAATAAAAATTTATTATTATTTTATATTATAATTATTTTATAGTAATATTGATGATGATAATGATGGTGATGATGTAGTTGTTGATGATGATGACGTAATTGTTGACCATTGAAGATGATGGAAGATGAAATGAATGAAATACTACTACTACTGCTACTGCTACTGCTACTGCTACTACTACTACTACTACTACTACTACTACTACTACTACTACTACTACTACTACTACTATTACTCTTACTACTACTACTACTACTAGTACTAGTAGTAGTACTACTACTACTAGTGGTAGTAATGATGATGATGATAATGATGATGATGATGATGACTGTGAAGCTAAAATAATCTATTTGAGAAATTCATCTTCATCATCATTTACTCTAATTTTCCAGGTTCATCGACAGAAAAATGATCATATCTATTATTATCATTATAATTATTATTGTTAGTAGTAGTAGTAGTAGTGGTAGTAGTGGTAGTAGTAGTAATAGTAGCCGCAGTAGCAGTGATAGTAGTATTAGGAAGTAACATTGTTGTTGATGATGACGACAAACTGTTGTTAGCAATAGTAGTTGCAGTGATCATGCTGCTGCTGTTTTGAAGTAAATTTGTTAACGTTTTTGTAGTTGTAGTTGTTGTTGATGTGATTGATGACGTCATCGTCGTCGTTGACGATGACACACTCTGGTGTCTCGTGCCAAAATACGACCTGAGCGAATGAATTTTTTAATAAGATGTCCAAACAACTGATCAATTTGTTAATTCTTCATCCATCACTGCCATCATTGAAACTGTAATAAAACTAATAATAATAATAACGGTAATAAAAATAATAACCCAATCAATGGATCATACATATTTTCTTTAGAAGCAGCAGTTGCAGCAGCAGTTGCAACAGCAGTCGCAGCAGCACCAGTCTGTGATAAAGGAGATGACAACAATGATGAATTTCTGTTGCTGTCTAAATTTAACATATTCCCAAAAGAATTTGAAGTGATTTTAGTAGCTGCTGTACTTGAAGCTGTGATAGTAGCTGTATTAGCAGCTGTAGTAGCTGTAGTGGTTGCTGTATTAACTATTATTTCATCATAATTAGCATCAGCCAAATTCAAATTGTTGGCTTTGATGAATGGTAGAAGCTGCGGACAAATGCTTATCAGAGTTTCAACAAATGCTGTCATAGCGCCATCTTTTGTTAGATCTCCCAAAGACCTCCAGGCTTGCCTGTTTATTATATTTATAATAATTATTATATTAATTATAATAATTATATTTAACAATTATTATTATTATCAGTTATTGAGATTTAAAGCACAAGAAAAACTTTGATGAATTGATGAATGAAGGAAAGGATGAGCAAACAAATGATGGATAGATAGATGAATGAATGGATGAATAAATTATTTAAATAAAAGAATAATAAAACAATTACTTTCGATCATTCCCAATGAAATCCAGAAACCCAACGTCATTACTCTGTTTCAAAGGTCCATATTTCACTTGCTTAGTCAGAGCTAACAACTTCAATCTTTCTCTGTAAGATAGTATCAAGGCTTTCGATCCTTGCTTTTCTAAAAAATCAATCAATAAATTAGATAACAAAATAAAATAAATAAACAAATAAATAAAAACAGCTTAATTATAGATTAAAAATTAATAAAGTAAAGATTGACTTACAAATTTACACACAAAATTACATTGCATAGCATAACAATTAACAACAAACCTTTGTAAAAATTCACTGCACACTTGTATAAATCATTTAAATCTATTTTTCTCAACTCCTCTGGTAGATTATCACTGCAGCAGTTGATCAGTGCGCCATTTATCATAGCCATTTTTTAATTAAACTTTTATTGAAAATGCTATTTAAAATTACTGTCTAAAAGTTTAGAAACAGACATTTAAAATTTAAAGGTCTGTGCAATTAATAATAAAGTAGTGGTCTAACTAAATATAAAAGGCCAATTTGAGATGCATTTTTTCTAATTTTAGTTTAAATTTTGTAATATATATATAGATAGAATTAGATATTTATTGAATGATTAAATTTATTAATTAAAATATGCTTTTGTTTATCGTGTGATCCGAAAATTTACAAATACAGCATTTTTAGACAATTATGAAGTTTAATAGATGAAAAACAATTTTACTTGAACTTTTCGAGAACTTTTTCTAATTTTCAATAAACACTTTTATATTAATAGAATAGAATATTCATTTTATACATTACTTGTTATATTATTCAATGTATATGGTTAACCATTAATTTTACTATTTAGTTATCTTGTCTTACTTATTTTTTTTTAATGGTTAAGTTCTGTTTTCGTCTAAAAATTTAGCATAGCTTTTCTCTTTCTCATCTACGCCATTTAACTGATTTTGATGTAAAAGTTAGAAAAAAATTTTATATGGAATATCGGTTTGTTCCTAAATTTTGTGAAATTTTAATAAAAACATTTTTTCGTTGCCATTCTTCATTTAATTTTTATGAACTAAATAGGTACTAACCACCCAAGGCACTGAGAAGAGGCCACCTAGCGACGACTCAACAAAGAAGATAATATTGAATTAATAATTTACATCAATCATGAAAAAGAGAAAACCACCCACCAGTTTCTTTCATAACCAAAAAAATGGCAAGGATGATAATAGTTCTGACTCGGAACCAGAAAGGCCAGTTTCTGCCTCTCCGGATCAGAACTGTTCAATCTGCTTGAGCAAGATGATGAATAGATCCTTCACGGATCGCTGTCTTCATATGTTCTGCTTCAAATGCTTGCTTGAGTGGTCAAAAATTAATGCTGTCTGTCCTTTATGCAAGTCTCCATTTAAGCAAATACACCACAACATCAGAGAAAATAATGCCAAATTTGACACGTATGATGTGGTCAGTCATCCTTCTAGCATCTCTTTCTTTAACACCAGCTACTTTGATCATCACATTCACCAGCCTGACCACCATCACAATCCGGGTGGCCTTCTTGATGATGAGAGGAGCTTGGCCATGGAGAGGTTTTATAATTTACTTCGGGATAGGAATAGGAGCTCCAACCCTCTTGTCTCGACTGCAGCAGACGACTTTCAAGCAATCAACGAATTCTTAATGACCAGATCAAACTACAACAGAACTTTTGCTTATGTTAACACTCAGGTAGCTCATTATCTACAGACAGATCGGAGCCAGGTTGAATCTGCTACTAGCTCAATAATGAGCCTTCTCAGAAGTTACAGCATCAGATCGACAACCTTCTACCAGAGAACAAGTAGTTATTTCAGAGACTACACCTCACATTTTCTCATCTCCCTGCAGGTCTTCCTACATTACAAGATCATGCAGTCCTACCAGATGCAAGGAGATTACAGCCGAGCCAGGGACTTCCAATACATAATCAATGCTGTTACTGCGTCTGGCTTGAACAGCATTAACAGCCAGAGTAGTAGTAGTAGTAGTAGAAATAACAACAGGAGCAACAACAATCACAGTGCAACTAGTTCTAGCTTGAATGACATCATCATTGAGGATGACCTGACACAGGATGGCATTGTAAGAGGGCATTTGGTCGATCCTGACGTTGAGATAGTTATGGAAAACCCCATCAACATCAGTGATGTTAACAATGATGTCCTCATAATATCACCCCTTGCAGCCACTAGCAACAACAACCACAGCAACTACAACAGCCTCGACATTCTTGTTAATCCCCATGGAGATGAATTTATTGGAGCTCGTTTATTACAGCTAGAGCAAGCTAGTCGCAACACAGAGACAACATCGGCCCGACACAATCTGCCTTTGTTCTTTGGCTTTTCAGAACCAATTCAGCGGCAAACCAGGACTTCTCTCAGAAGTAATAACGAGACATCCTCATCGTCATCTTCATCGTCATCCTTACTGAATGTCACCCCAGCAACTCCAGATTGCATAGACATCGATGTACTAGGTGAATCGTCTGCAGCAGGATATAACAATGTCAGGTCTCCTATATTTCTTTCGAGCGATGACGACGATGAGAATAACGTTCAGATGATTGGGGAATGTTCGACATCTAACCTCCCGGAACAATCTCGAAAAAGAAAAAGGAGAACCTCACGTCATCGTCATCATCACCGTCATCATCGTCGCCATCATCAGACTGACACACAACAACAGCAGCATGTATTATCATTGCTTTTAGTTAGCTCTGATGATGATAGTGAAGAAGAAGATGATGGTGATGGAGCTAAATACAATAAAACTCATAAAAAAAGATCGAAAGTATCAAATGCTGATAATTCAAACCGACCAATCGGCAGCAGTGATCGTGATCAATTGTTTTCAAGAAACAACAATGGCATTGAGATTTGTGACTTGTCATCATCATCATCATCATTGGCGGCCAGGACGCCATCATCATCATCGACTACAATAATGACGTCATCATCAACAACGTCGACAATGGCCACAGCGGCAAGTAGAGCTGGAGAGATATCCGGTACCAAAGACCATGAAAGAGTAGAAGAAACAAAAAGATCATTCAAAAAACATCACACAGGGCATAAGAATTCCCAAAAACATAGCGATAGTGAAGATGGTGACAGTGATGATGATGATGATACCAGCCATAATAATAATAATAATAATAATAATAATAATAATAATAGGAATGGTTATAATGATGATAGAAATAATGATAGGGGTAGTAGTGATGATGTTAAAGAAAGCAATTATGATGATATTCCCAGAGCTGGCAATTATTTTGAGATATCTTCGGACAACAACAATCATGATGCAATCATAGGATATGCTGTGGAAATAACCGGCATCAACAACAGCTACAACAACAACAACAGCATCAACATCCACAACGACAATAGTAACATCTACAACAACAACATTCACAACGACAGCAGCAGCAACAACAACAACAATAGCACAAGTGATTTCATGAGCATAATTGAGAAACTTGATAAAAATAATGATAACAGTAGTAGTAGTAGTGATGATGATGATGTTGTTATTGAGAGTAATTATGATAATAGCCACAGAGGCAATGATTACCTCCAACCATCTTTAGACACTGATGATGCAATTGTAGGATACGCTGTAGAGATAACTGGCAGCAGAGTTGACAACTACAACTGCAGCAACAACAATAGCACAAGTGATTTCATGAGCATAATTGAGAAACTTGGTAAAAATAATGACAACAGTAGTAGTAGTAGTGATGATGATGTTGTTATTGAGAGTAATTATGATAATAGCCACAGAGGCAATGATTATCTCCAACCATCAATTGTAGGATACGCTGTAGAGATAACTGGCAGCAGCGTTAACAACAACAGCAGCATCAGCAGCAATGACGTCATCTTCAACAGCAACAACAACAACAATGATGGAAATAGTGGTGATGGAGATAAAAATTATAAAAATATGGGTAGTGGTGGTGATGATGTTAAAGAAAGTTGTTGTGATGATGACCTTAGAGCCTGCAATTTCGTCTACGAGATATCTCCAGATAATGTGATCACAGATTATCGTACCATGGAAATAACTGACAACGACATCAACAACAATGATGTCGTCGATAACCATACAGACAACAACAATGACAATGACGTCATCGTCGGCAACAGCAATGTAAGCGACGACAATAGCAACAACGTTAACGACGACAACATTAACGACAACAACAACAACAGCCCAAGTAATTACATACAGATGATTCAGAAACTTGTTGAACTGTATTGCTTGCTGAAAAACATCGACTACACGTTTACCGACATCATCAACAGCAACAACGGCAGCTACGTAATACATGGACCATCTTACAGCATCAAAAACCTCAGGAACAAAACCAGTGGCACTCACATCATGGCCAGCTACACCGAACTCCTCTTGATTAAACTAACTCAGCAGTTCAAAAACATCAACAATCATAACGACGACGACAACAAAATTGACAACTGCATACGCAAAACTGTCTACGACTTCCGCAGATCCCTCAACAATATCCTCGGTGATGATATTCAAGACCTTGATATGGAACTAGATGAATACACGTCTAGTGACGACGAAACCAACAAGTGCAACGATATTAATAATGTTAACAATTGCAAGAGTCATAGCAGTGACAATAGTGCTGTAGGCATTAGCAATGGCGATGGCCTCAGTAACTTTTTTGGCGTTGTCAACTATATAGGTAATATAATTAGCCAAATCAGAAACAACAACAACAATAATAATGATAGTAGTAGTAGTAGTAGTAGTAGTAGTAGTAGTAGCAACAACAACGACAATAAAATTATTACTAACTTCTTCAATATCATCTCCTATGTTGAAGACTTCATCAAACTGGTGAACAGAGAAAAACGCAATTATTTCTCCTACTACATTCTCTACCATCCCAATTTTAATGACACCAATAACGCGAATATTAATAATTTAAACAACAATAACAACAACAATAACAGTAACAACAACAGTAATAACAATAACGACAGTGATGGTTTTCTTGTGATAAGTTTTGTGGTTGCACTGGTTCACGAGCTGATCGATAGGTGCGTTAAAAGGCTCACATCCGTACACAATTGTTACGTCGGTGGTATGCATGATATCATGGCCGATTATTATGATAATAATAATAATGGTGGTAATAATAATGGTGATAATAGAGATGATGATACAAGAAGGAGCTTGGCTAATGGTAAGGGATTTAGGAGGTGCTTCTTCATCTGTCATCATCTTCGTCCGTGGGTTGGCGAACTTGGGGATGTTAACAATAATGATAATAATGATGATGATTATGATGATGATGATGACAGTGATGGTGAAGATGATTATCCAAATGAATACGATGATGATGGTAGTAGTGGTGATGGTGGCCACCTCTCAGCTAATGAAATTTGTGATCGGCATTTGATGAGCCTTAATAATGATGATAATAATAATGACTATAATAATGATGATGGTGGTGATGATTATAACGGTAACTGCGCCAATGATGATGATACAGATATTATTTTAGATGATTTTTCAGTTAGTAATAATAATAATAATAACCACCACCAAAACAATAATAATAACAATAATAACAATGACGTCATTAATAATTACATTGATGGTGAAGCTGACAATTATGTCATTGCTACTGAAGGTGACGACGATGGTGGTGGTGGTGACAATAAAGCGAGAAGTAATGATAATGATGTTAGAGTAGTAGGCGGTGATAATGGTGTCAGGATGGGGATTAATGATAATGATGATGACGTGAAATTGGATGATGATGATGACGACGACAATGACGTCATCTCAGTTTACTCTGGTCAATCGATACAATTAATCTGCGGTAACAATAACGCTACCGTGGGCGACGATGATGATATAACCATCAGATCTGATGATGATGATAACAACAATAACAACAACGGTATCAACAACAATAACATCGCTGATAGATATAACGATAATGAAGTTAGTTGTTATGTACCTAAAAAGTTCAGGGCTTTGCACAGTTCAATTAATAATAACAAAATTGATAATAATAATTATAATAAAGTTAATGTTAAAGCTTGTAATATTGGTTTCAAAAGAGTTTTGGAGCTGATCAAAGCTAAGAAAACTAATTGGAGGAGGCATGATGACGATAGCAGTGCTACTAATGATGATGAGATAGTCGGCACAAGTGACGACGATGAAGATGATGGCCCGCCATATAGTGATGATGACCGGAAAAGAAAATTTCTGCAAATAAGAAGATCAAACAATGATACTAATGATAACGAGGTTGGCCGCTGTGGTGATAGGAACGATAGCAATGAAGACGTCTTAGACTTATCAGTCCCGAAGAGTATTAAGTAGGTGCTGATAATAACGCTGATGATGGGTGCTTTTATCTACCTTAACTGATGGTGATAATGGTGGTGGCGATGATGGTGATGATGCTAGTTGTGATGATAATGATGATATAGTTAGATTTTCTCGGAAATGGCGCAATAATATTAGCTCAGTCTTACTCACTGACCGTGTTGATGATGGATGGGTGGTATTAAAAATAAGGATGATAACAACGACGATGATGATGAGCGTGTGATGATGTCTTGAAATGATAATATGATGGTGGTGATGGACAACTGCTTTATAAAGCCTATATTTATATAATGTGTAATGTACATACTCGGTGTTCGTTAACGTTTAACATAAAAAAAGTTTTATATATATATATATATATATATATATATATATATATATATATATATATACAGCATCTTCGGCTTTGGTTAACTTTCAATTCAACTTTTCAAAAAAAATCGAAAAGTTAAATTGGAAGTTAACGCTGAACATACTGTAATTTTCATCAATAATTACATATATATATATATAAATATATATATATATATATATATATATATATATATATAATTAGTATCTTTACTTATCATTATGTAATCGCGTGTATGTAAAGTTGATCATCTGTACATTTCATGATTATGTCTCCAACATTTGCAAGCTGTTTCATTATTTTAATTAATCAATCAATCAATCAATCAATTGACTAATTAATTGATTGATTGAACTAGATAACGAACTTATACCCATTAGCAATGATTGTCGTTATTTTTTCTTGTTATTTTAAATATTATTAGTTCGTGTTGATTTTATAGAAAACAAAATGAAAAGAGGAGAGTAACATGTGGCTTAGATTAGGTGCTGTGGGTCATGTTACTCAAAAGGCCTGCTTAAGAGAGCCTGGCAAATAACCAAACCCATACCTGCCTAAAACGACTCGCCCGATGATAAATGTTGTTGTTGTGATGTTGTTGTTGTGAGGTTGTTGCTGAATAATAATGTTCGCATTCAGATACAAAGCAGACAATGTAATAATGATAGCAATGTATATCTCTAAGAGTGAGATGATATTAATGATACAAATGATACGTTGATGCGTCATTAAAACAATAGCAATGATAATAAAATAAGAAAAATAATAAAATGTCGGTGCTTAAATATGGAGCAAACAGTTTATGAATACAAATAGAGAAATATAATATCAATGTTTGAGAAGCTTAATGTTTGACTAAGGTAGCTATATGTGCACACCCCCCCCCACACACACACACACATATATATATATATATATATATATATATATATATATATATATATACATACCCATCTTTAAATATGTTATCTAATTTTAAAAATAAATTTTAAAATGATTCTAAGGCGGAAACTAAACATTATCTGACTGAATCAAACGATGTAACAACGGAATTAACTGTACATATAAGTTGGACTGAGATGACGAGCTAAAAATAGACTGAAAGCTAAAAATAGATGGGTCCATTTGATAGTGATGAGGGGTGAACGTACGTACTTTGCGGTGATGATAAAAGCTAAAAATAGATTGACGTAATGATGATAATAACTAAAAATAGAATATGATAAAGAAATTATCATGAAAACTAAAAATTGAGTGTGATGATTTTATAATAACGACAAAATCTGTAAGGATGAGATGACGACAAAAGCTAAAAATAGAATACAACCCAATGAGGGTAACAGTTAAAAATAGAATATTAATAATGTAGTGATAAAAAACTAAAAATAGAGTATGATGTAACGATGATAGGAGATAAAAATAGATTGCAATTGTGATAAAATCCGATGTGGTTAGTTTCTTTTCTTTCAGAGAGTCATTCAATTACTTCTCTATTCCTAGATTTAGTAAGTATTTGTAATTAATAAATTAGAATAATATATTCACCATTATAATTAATTAATTAATCTATTAATTGTGTTAATAATCCTCAGAGTAACAGCGTCATAACCTTTTACTATCGGAGGATATCTTGTTATTTTTGATCTTTTTATTTTTGGAGCTGAGTATTCTGGCCGCTTCCGCTTCCGGCGTGTATGTGAAGTAAATGTGAGATAGATCTATTTCCTGTTTGGGTGAGTGAATGAGTAAACGAATGAATGAGTAAACGAATGAATAAACGAGTGAATAAGTGAGAGAGTCATCATTGTATTGCAGGCAACTGACATCGTCATCATCGGCATCTCTGAAGTTATGGACGTTATCATCCTTCTTCATATTGTTGCCAGTATAAGCGATGCACTTCAACTGCCACTCGCCCAACTCGTCACTCCACATGGCGTTCTGCTCTATCAACTCCTGAGCGAATTAATGGATGAGTGAGCGAGCGAATGAATGAATGAATGAAAGGGAGAGTGATTGTGTGAGTTAATTGATGAATGATAATAGAATCAATGAATGAGGTGCATGGATAAGTGAATGGAGTGAGTGAACGCTCTACAAATTCGTGGAATAATAAAAAGAATGAAAGAATGAGTGAATGAATGAAAGACTAAATCAATGAACAAACAAACCATATATTCTTGGGGAATAAAATGATCGCAGATGAGGACGAGAAGTTTGAGTTCTTTGGTGAGTTCCCTCACGTTGTCCAGCATTCCTTCCATCTCCCTCTGGTGCTCTTCTCTCTGGTCTTTCAACTTTTCCATTGAATGAATGAATGAGTGAGTGAATGAATGAATGGATTATAGATGTTATGAATGATAGGTTGATCGGATTAAGTGACATCAGAACGAGCAATATTTAGTCTTTTGATTGAATATTTATCTCTCAAATGATACAATTATTGAATTGGTTGAGTGAACGGCCGACTCAATGAATGAATGAATGAATGAATGAATGAATAAATGAATGAATGAATGATTGACAGCAGCAGCAGCAACAACAACATACTTCTTCCTTGGCTTGCACATACAGAGTCCAAACTTTTTTTAATTTTTTCGTCTTTCCAATGATTTCTTCTTGCAGGCTGGAATATTTTTCTTCTATGTCAAGTCTCTCAGCCTGGAGATTATGATAATGATGATAACTCATTCATCCATCTATCTATCCATTCATTTATTCGTTTATTCATCAATTTATAATAGCAACCAGCTTTCAATCCATCCATTTTAGCGACCATCCATTCATCCACTCATCTTTTATCCATTCATCCATCCATTGATTAATCCATCCACTTTCATTCCTCACAGCCCATCCATCCACTCCAGCCAACTTCTTTCTCTTCTAGAGCCTTCTTCAGATGTTCGGCTTTCTTCTTCCTCTCCTCCAACTCCAGAGCACTCTCTTCCAGCATCCTCTCTTGCTCCTCAGCCTTCTCCAGAAGATTCTCTCCCCCCACAATTATCTTCTTCTCCAAGGCCTGCAGGCGCTGCTTCAAGATCGCCTGCTCTTTCCTTGGTGAGTGGAAAAAATACGCCAACGCATGGGTTAGAAAGACAGAGTAAGTTTTGGAAATACAAACGCATGTAGGTGGAGAATGTCATAGGAGTGTACAGAAATACTATAATCTATAAAAGATACCAAAATTAATAATAAAAATACCACAAAAAATACACAAATCTATAAAAATGTAAACATTTACCATGAAAATACCAGAAAATATCCAAAATGTCTAGATATAAAGACAAATGCAATAGAAAATACACAAAATTCTATAAAAATAAAAACGTATGCTACTGAAAATACAAAAAAATATACACAAATTTATAAAAATGTCAACATATGCACTAGAAAATACCGAAAAATATAAAAAAAGACACGATACAAAAGTTAAACATACACGAAAACACAACAGAAACAACAAACGAACGAACATTGCGCCATCTAGTTCCATCTGTTTAGTTTCCAGATCATTCTGTATCTTCCTCTTTTCCTCTTCCTCCATATCTTTCTGACTCTCCAATTTCTTCCTCTCTTTCTCTATCTCCTCTCTCATTTTTTGCATTTTCTCTCTGGAAACCCCGCCCCTCACGTGCTGCTGCCTTCCTATTGGACGAAGGAGCAAAAGTGGCTCTCAGATATTTTGAATAATTATCTCGATTTAGATTATTTTTAACTGGAAATTAGTGAAAAAGACGGGAAAACAAAGCAAAATACAACGAAACAACTAAACAGAAAAGAAGCAGCATGAAATCAAAAAATGAAAAAATTGGATAAAATCTTTTCACTGACTAACTAACCATCCTCATCTTCATCATCGGCACCCTCTCCCTCTCCATCCACATCTCCCGCCGCACCTCCCTCTTCCAGCTGCCTCCTCAGATCATCGATCTCCTTCTGGTACTGCCGCAGCAGGGCATCTTTAGGGTCCTCGTTCACCCTCGCGTTGTTCTTTATGTTCTTCGCCCGGTTCGCGTACCGAAGCGTGCTGATCGTCTCGTCGAAGTTGTAGTCGGCTGGCCCCACGTTGGCCACCTAGTTAGTTCGTTCGTTCGTTGAGAGGGAGAGACAGAAAAAAGAGTAGGAGAATGAAAGAATGAAATAAATGAGAAAACGAGTAAGCGAATAAGTGACTGAGTTGTTGTTAGAAACTTGGTGAAAAATAAAGAATGCCATCTAGGTAGCGAGAGAGAACACGAAAATAAAAGAGAGAGAGAAAGAAAGAGAGAGAGAGAGAGAGAGAGAGAGAGAGAGAGAGAGGGTGAGAGAAAGTTAATAAGGTAAATGAAGAATAAGCAGAGACAATTGAATTATGATAACATATACAGCAATAACAATAGAAAAAAACACCACACATAAACAGACACGTATACACACACACACACAAACGAACAAACCATAACGGTTTTTGAATTCCCGCCTAAGCTATCTTGCAGGAGTCTGGTTAGTTTTGAATTTCGATAGGGTATGTGCGTGCTTTTGCCGTCGACCAGTGCCGATATCACATTTCCAAGGGTTGACAGCGAGAGGTTAATTTTCGTTGCCTCTTTTAACCTTTGACCTGTTGCACCTGTCTTCGACTGCCTCTCCGAACCCTGACGAGAAAATTATAACAAATCAACATCGGCGATGACAAAAACAAAAGCGAAACCGAAACTTCTTACAGCTAAATCGACGAGGTGCAATTTCCCGACCCTGACTCTACTTTTATCATCTGGGCCCTTGTCACTGCACTCGATTGTGACCGTGAAGATGGCGTGAGATCTCGAACTGTGCGCGTTCATATTTGTGGCCCCCACCGCCCCTGGCGAATTAAAAGTAATCCATCACTAACTAAATTAACAGGTTCAGTGAATAAAAATATTGGACAAATCAGTACCGTTGGAAATTTGAATTGCAGATGTATCTATCTTTTTATTAGGGAATTTAAATCTAGAAAGATGCAGTAATATTGATTGGTGAGATAGATCGGAGAAGCGTCATATTCCGCACTATCATCACACAGAAACCAGCTTCATAAATCCAGACCGCGTATGTAAAGAAAAAAAAACAACCCAACACCGAAAAATAACAACGACGAAAATGAAATAAAAAAAAGTGTCAACTCTAACTATTTTTATTGCCAACAGTCATTATTTTGTCCATGTCGTCGGCATTGTTGACCACGAACGCCGACAAGTCTTTGACGTACACACCGACATCTGGCCTCTCCTTGACCTACCGAGTGCCACCACCATTCACAACTTATATCCATTTGTTTAAATGTTAATAACAGCTCATTTGATTACGACAACATTAACGACACGCACACATTAAAATAGATCGCAAGGAAAGAGGACAATTAGAAAATTAATACATTGAGATGGTAGCTTTATGAAATTACGATTATTCATCCATTTATCTATTCCGTCATTCATTCATACAACTATTCATCTATTTAGTCGTCCATTCATTCATTCATTCATTCATTCATTCATTCATTCATTCATTCATTCATTCATTCATTCATCCATCCATTCATTCATCTATCCATTCATTCATTCATTCATTCATCCATCCATTCATTCATCTATCCATTCATTCATCTATCCATTCACCAATTCATTCATGCATTCTCGCATACCTCCAATTGTTGTGTTTGATCTTTGCCTAATAAATCCCTGACCTCTTCGTTGTATATTTCCAGGTAAGATACTCTAACTAGAAACCTTGAGATGGATGAATGAATGAATGAATGAATGAATGGATGAATGGATAAATGATTAGAAAGATGGATGAATAGATAGACGAATTGCTTAACTAAAAATCATTAGACGGTTGGATGTTGATTTAATTATTTGTTTATTTAACGTGAGGATAGAAATTTTAAATGAATGGATGGATGGATGGATAAATAGATGGATAAATAAATAGATAAATGAATAAACAGATGAACAAATGAATGATTGAAGAAATGATTCAGTTATTGTAATCCTACTAAGCATTCAATTTTAAATAGAACGACAAGTTTTCAATGAAATTTTTTCTCTCATTCTTACTCACTTAATATCATCTTCAGATTTAGCAATGGCCCCAAAGACATGTGCAAATGAGTTAGGAATGATGCCGCGTAACTCTGGAACAGATCTGACACCTGGAGAAGAAAATTTTCAACAGATTCACAAAACACTAATAAATAAATAGTATCACTAAAGCGTTTAATACTGCACTGCTGCTATTAATAATAATAGTAATTTTATAAAATGACAACCTAACCTTCCATGGTAAATGTTTTGCCAGTACCTGTCTGTCCATATGCAAAGATTGTTCCTGAAAAAAATGAAAATTATCAATAAACTACTTACACACACGCACACACAAACACACACACACACACACACACAGGAACACACACGCACACACAAACACACACAGGAACACACACGCACAAACACACATACACACACACAGATAAAAGTCAAAATAACATTAAACCATAATCTAAATCATAGCAACTAACCATTATACCCCTCCAACACACATTCAACAATGGGTCTGGCCACTACATTGTAGACATCAACCTGCTTGCAATCTGGTGCGAAAACCGTGTCAAAAGTAAAATTCTTTGGAATGTCGATTTGTTTGTCCCCATTCGGAATTGATACTGTTATCGTTCCCAATGTTTCATCAACCTTTCAGAAAATTTTATGGGGAATATTTTTTTTTGAAATTCTGTGTTTAGGATTTACATGAGGAAAAATAGTTTTAGAGTATACATTTAGAAAATTTTACATTGAAGAATAGCTTTAGAGTTTATATTTATGAAATTTTATGATTTAAAATGATTTAAACGTTTATATT